CCTCCTCCCTTACCACTTCTTATCATAACCTCTATCTGATTCCTTAGCACTCAGGGAGGGAGGGGCGAAGGGAGAGAGGGAGAGACTGTGGAACTCAAGACTTACAAAAAAAGTTACAAGCAGTTTTAACATGTAATTGAAGGGAAATGTATGTATTTATATATAAATAGATATACAAATATATATTGTATATGTACATATTTATATATGTTTAAATATAAATACATATGTGACTAAAACTTTAAAAAAAAAAAAAGGACAGTTCATACCAGACTAATCTTATTTCCTCATTTGTCAGGGCTTTTAGGCAAGTACACCAGGGCAACAAAATCTGTAAGGATTGTAGGAGAGCACTTGACAATTCTCTAGTGATATTCTTGTGGGGAGGCTGGAGCAGTGTGGGCTAGACAATAGACATGAGGTAAAGTCAGATCCAGTTAAATGGCCTGACTAAAAGATCAGTTATTAATGCTTCAATGTCGGCACAGAAGGAAGTTTTCATCTGAGTGCCCCAGGGATCCGTGCTTGGCCATTCTTACCAATGACTTGTGTAAGGTTATAGAGCAACATATTGATTAAGTTTTAAATCAGTTCATTAAAATTTAAAGTGTTAGAGCGACACGCTTACTGATTTTTAGATAAATTTGTTAAAATCTAGAAGTGCAGAACAATATGCTTATTAAGTTTTCAGGAGATACGAGCTGCAAGGGATAGCTAACCTGTTGGACAAGCGAGCCAGGATCCAAAATGATCTCATTTGCTAGCTGTGTGACCCTGGGCAAGTCACTTAACCCTGATTGCCTCACCAAAAAGCAAAAAACAAACAAATAAAATTACCTCATTTGGCTGTAATATTTGCCTGAATCTAATAAGAAAATTGAGGAAGAAATATAAAGACTTCAGTTAAAAAAATCAACTTCATGAATGCAAGATGACGGAGGCACCACTATTTTACAGTTTTATCTGGAAAAGATGTTGAGGGTTTAAATGTACTGCAGGCTTAGTATGAGTCAGCCGTGTGATTTGGCAGCCACAAAAGCACGTGCAATCTTTGGATGTTTAGGGAGTCACAGTGTCCAGGTCTGGGAAGAGAGAGGTGATAACTTTGCCACTGTACTCTGTCCTCAGCGTACAATGTCTAGAGTATCGGGTTTGATTCTGGATGCCACCTATTAAAAATATCTGGGGGGTCAGCTAGGTGGCGCAGTGGATAGAGCACCAGCCCTGGATTCAGAAGGACCTGAGTTCAAATCCGGCCTCAGACACATAACACTTACTAGCTGTGTGACTCTGGGCAAGTCACTTAACCCCAAATATTTCAAAAAATAAATAAATAAAACCATCTAGATGATGTGGAGCATCCCAAAAGAGGGCCGCAAGAGGGACAAAGGGCCTCAAAATCATCTCGCCTTGGGATCAGTGATGAACTCGGGCCAATTTAGTGTAAAGCAGGGGTGGGGAAGCTGTGGCCCTCCAGGTGTATTGACTATCCTCAAGCTACTTGTTCTGTTCAGTTACCAAAGGGCAGAGCTAAGAGCAAGACATGGGAATTGTAGAGGTTTAACAAGTTTAGGTCTGACATGAGGAAAAATGACTTAACAAGTAGAACCATCCCAGAGTGGAATGGATTGTGTCGGGAAGGAGGTAGATAAACCGCCTGTCTGGCTATGATGTAGACAGAAGGGTCCTTGCTCAGGTACTGATTTCAGTTCAGCCAGTTACTCTGAGCCAGACACTGTGCTAAGTGCTGGGGATTCAGAGAAAGGCAAAACCCAGTCTATACTCGCAAGGATCTCACGGTCTTATGAAGGACACAGCACCCAATTAACTGTGGACCAAACGAGATATGGGGGAATTGGATGCCCCTTTGGAGGGCAGGGAGAATACTAACGTTAAGGGGGACAAGAAAGGCTTCTTGCAGAAGGTGGAACTGTAGCTGAGACTTGAAGGAAGGCGGGAGGCAGAGATGAGGAGGGAGGGGATTCCAGGGATGGGAGACAGCCAGAGAAAACGCTCAGGGTTGGGACATGGAATGTCTTGTGCGAGGAACACCAAGGAGGCCAAAGTTACTAGATCACAGAGTATGTGGGAGGGGGAAGCAAAGCCCAAGAAGAATGGCATGGTAGGAAGGGTCTGGTTATGAAAGTCTCCAAAAGCCAGAGAGGAGATTCTTGAATTCATCAAATACAGAGCAGGGAGGGTAGGACATGGTCAGACTTGTATTTTAAGAAGCTCCGTTGGCAACTGGGTGGAGGATGGACTGGAGCAAGGAGAGACTGGGAAGGGAAATCAATGGGCAGGCTATTGCTGTAGCCTAGGCATGAGGTGATGAGGGCCTGCCCCCAGGGGTGGCACAGTTAGAGGAGACCTAGACAACAAGTGTTACAGAGGTAGAAGTGATAGGACCTAGCAACTTTTGGCATATGGGGGTGGGTGGGGCAGAGAGAGTGAGGAGCTGGGGATGATACCTAAGTTATTAGCTTGAGTGACTGGGAGGATGGTGGTGACTTTGACAGTAATAATGAAGTTAGGAAGAATAAAAGGTTTGAGGGAAAAGATGAGTTCAGTTCTGGATGTGCTGAGTTTTAAGACATCTACTGGACATCCATTTTGACCTGTACAAAAGGTAGCTAGAAATGAGAAACTAGAAGTCAGGAAGGAGGTTAGGGCTGTACAAATAGATCTGATAATCATCTGTATAAACTGAATTAGATGGCCTCTGGGGTACCTTTCCAGCTCTGAGGTTTTCTGATTCTATAACTGTATTCCAGGCTTGAGAAGACAAGCCCACCAGGGAGATGGGAGAAGACATGCTAAGACTGGGAAACGGTTGGTAGGCCAGGTTGTCTGAAAGCAGAGTGTGTCGAGGCATAAAATAAAATGACTAGAAAGATAGGTAGGAGCATGGTTGTAGATGGCTGGGCTGCGAATGCCAGGCAGAGGAGTGTGCATCTATTATGACAGCAGTAATACAGAACCCCTAAGGCTGATCTTCATCCCATTACATCAATGGAAATCATGTCCTTTTGAGCATCACTTTATTTACCACCACATTCACAGTGCCAATGGTGCTCCCAAGGGTGCAGCCACCTTTTCACTTTGAGCTCATGTGGTCTGTCTCTCTCTAGAGCTCCCTGATGGTGAGGACTGTTTCATTTTTGTCTCTGTACTCCCCGGGGGCTAGTGCAGTGTCCAGCACACAGTGGACACATGAAAAGCTTATTGATTGATTGATATATACACTATAATCTATCCCATTATCAGGTTCTAGGAGTTGCTGGAAGATCAGAGGAAGAGGTCACTGCTCCCTCCGCACAGGCAGTAAGTAAGTAGCAGAGCCAGGATTTAAATCCCTGCCCTCTGACTCCAAGTCCCACATTTTTCTTATCAAAGCTCCTCAATGGTTCCCTGCCTACTTGTCATTGTTATTGTTATTGTTTGTCCTCAAAGAGGACCTTGACATCTGGAAGGTGACACCATGACATGCAAATGAATTGCATTTAAGTGAGGGAGAGCTGTACAAAGTTACCAGCCTCACTTCCCCCCCCCCCAAACACCCTCCCCCGGAGCCATCTGCCTCCAGTGGCAAAATCAGGGTGACTGAAGATGGCCCCGCCAGCAACCTATGAGACAGTGCTAAATTGTTCCCTGACAATTAAGTAGAGTTCTGACTCCTTTCGTTGGCATTCAGGCACTGAAGTGTCATGCACAACCCTCCCTGCCCCTCCATGTATTCTTTGAGCTAGGCAAACAGAGCTCTTTTCTGTTCCCCAGTACACTGTTCTCTTTACTTGGAATGCCCCTTGCTCTCTCCTACTCAGACTTAGAGCCCAACTCAAATATCTCCACAAAGCTCTCCCTGATCTCCTCACCTAACCCCCTCCCCTGGGCTTCATAGAAGCACTTTATTTGCCCATTTCTTACATGCTTGTCATGTGTCATAGCTGTTGCTGTGTAGCAGTCATTTTAGTTGTGTCTGACTCCGTGACCCCCCATTTGGGGTTTTCTTGACAAAGATACTGGAGTGATTGGCCATTTCCTTCTCCAGCTCATTTTACACATGAGGAACTGAGGCAAACAGGGCTAAGTGACTTGCCCAGGGTCACACAGCTAGGAAGTGTCTAGGGCCAGATTTGAACTCAGAAGATGAGTCTTCTTGATTCCTAGCCCCGTGCGCTATCCAGCGCACCTCATAGCTGCCCGGTCCTATCTCCCTCCTAAAATGTAGGCAGGGTGATGAAGAGTCCCTGCAGTGAAGGAAGGAACCACGTCTTATCTAAATTTTGTAATACATGTATATTACATTGAAGGGAGCAATGCTATGATGCAGGAGGACTTCAGGATTAACAGAATCCTCAAAATCAAGCCTTCTTCACTGGAGAATACTCCTGGTAAGCTCTGGGGCATCTAGGATTCCTCTAGAGCTGGTGGATGAGACTTCTCTTGTAAATAAAATTTCCTGTGTATATAGACCCCCTTCCCCCAATTACCCAGAGGCCTTGGGGACCTAGAAGGACAGTAGGATTACATTAACAATAGCTGTCACCTAGATAACACTTTCACATTTACAAATTGCATCCTCTAACAAACAGGCCAAGTAAGTCTGCATTGTCATGTTTCACTTTTGAGACTCTGAGAGGGGAAGTCACCGACCCAAGGCCCCTCTGCTAGTCCCCCTCAGAGCAGGGACCAGAATTCAGATCTATTTACTCCTAGTTTTTTCCCTTTTGGATCATGGGGCCTGAAGCAGCAACAAGAGTGCAGAGCATGGAAAGTGAGGTTCACCAGTGACTGCAGCAGTGCGGGTGGCCTGGGCTGGGCCCTCATTTCCCTCTGGGGGATCAGACTACCTGACTGCTAAGGGCCTTTCTACTCTCGGGTCCCACAGCTCGGCATATTTAATACACCTCAGGGGCAGAACTGTCCCCAGTGGGAACCTGCAGGAACTGGTGTGACCTTGGCTTGAAGCTGCTGCTGCCTGTCCAAGTGATTGGCAGGGACAGTTTCAGAGCCTGGCTGCACCGTTCTTCCCCACCCACACAACCTTCCCCAAATACGCTGTTTCCTGATAACTGAGACAGAACTGAAAGTCCCTCCCTCCACCGCCAAGTCTTTCAGGGGCTGGTTTAGTATCCCAGGGTTCATATCTTACGGACTGCCTGTCCTGGGGCCCGGCAGGGGCTGCGGCTGCTCCCACAATTGCCTTGGGCCGCTTTTGCCTGTGTTTGGGCTTCGGCTGGAAGGGGTGGGGGAGGAAGAAGATGGCAAGCTGCCCTCGCTGACGCCAACTGCCAGTCTTGCCCCAGTAAGCCAGCCCTTAGTGCGTAGGAGTCAGCAAGAGCCTCTCTCCCGCCCTGACAGCTGGCACCGAGTCTGTTGCCCTGGCAACACCAATCCCAGGCTGACGGGAAGTGAAAGAGCCTCCCAACCCACCAGCCCAGGCATTTCAGGGAGCCCGGAAAGGACCCAAGCCGAGAGAGGAGCTAGCCTAGCCCGGGGCGCCCTGATGCTCACTTCAGCAGCCAGCCCCAGAAGACACTGGGGACATCCGGTTCCTCCAGGCCACCGAGCCATGTTGTCCCGGGGGCCTGCCCTGCTTCTCTGCCTTTTACTGCTGCTGCTGCCTGAGGTGGCTGGTGAGGACAGGGCAGAGAGCTGGTGGGACAGAGCGGGGGCCCCTACGGTCAAAAAGGTGGGGAAGGGCCTGAAGGACCGGGTGAATGCTGTGACAGCTCTCTCCAAAAAGTACTGGGCTTACTTTGCCCGCCAAGTGTGGCCCCAGGACTGTGATGAGGAAAAGGAAGCTGCCTCGAAGCCATTGGGTAAGACACGGCAGCCCCATCACCCCTTCTTCCCAGCCCAAGGCATCTCCTGATCAATAATTATAACTGCCATCCACACAGAAGCACCAGTTTGGAGCTGACAATTCCTCAGAAGCCATCTAGCCCAATCCTTCACATTTTATAGAGGAAGCTGAGGCTTAGGGGACAATTAAGTGACTTGTCCAAAGTCACATAACTAGTAAGCTTTAGTGGTAGGATAGAAACATAGTTCCCCTGGGCTCTAGAGTAGAGCCCATGCTCCTTCCCCTCTACTGCATGACCTCACAAAGTTGTGGGGTTTGCAAAGAGCTTTATGGACATTATTTTATTCCTTAATAACGTTCTCTGATAATATCACCCCCAGTTTATTAATGAGGAAACTGAAGCTTGCAAGTTTTTGCCATTGGGTCACAGATTTCCATCTGGAAGTGAACTTCTCTTGTCTGATCTGTTTATTTAAGAGACCTGCCCATGGTGGTACACAGCTGGGAAATGTCAGAGGCAGGCATCCTAATCCAGGTCTCATTTGACCTCAGAGACCTTTGTTCCACCCCACTGCCTATCTATGGTCCTGACAAACCCACATATCCTGCCTGGCCCTGGTAGGACCCATTGTAACCAGGCCCCACATAATCTCCTAGATGTTTGAGAATCAAGGCTTGGAGGAAGGTCTGGGATGTGAAGAGTTTAACTGAATTTGTGTCCCAACTACCCCAGGTCCCTGTAGTCTGGGGCTCCAGAAGGCTCACCAGTGAGGACCAACTGAGTGGTGCCCTTCATCCCTTCTCGGGTTCCATTCAGTTATTCAGCTATCCCATGTTGACTGTCAACATGGTCTCTTTTCTTTCTTACGTCTCGGGAGCACAGCCCAAAATGGTGGACTGTGGGTAGGCCAGCCTCAGACATGGTGGTCGGTGCTGGGCATCAGAGATACCTTCCTTCCCTTTCCAACCCAATCTCTGGATCTGTGTGTCCTTGGTGACGTTCCCCCTTCTCCACCACAAGTACTGACAAGGCATGCTCATTTACTCTCTGGGCTGCCCTGAACCCCAGGGTTAAGAGAAGGAGCTGTCCTGAAGAAGAAGCATTCAGATGGAGAGGCCTGGGACACCCTGCTAGAGGTTTGTGAATCTCCCCCTGGAACAGCTGTACTGAGCCGTGCCCTCACTCTCTCCTATTCCCTTGACTTTCATAGAGCCCGTGATTTAGGAGGAATCCAGGAGTATAACAGAACAGCTAAGTGGTGCAGCTTATAGAGCACCAGGCCTGGAGTCAGCAAGACTTGAGTTCAAATCTGACCTCAGACACTTACTAGCTATGTGACCCTGGGCAAGTCACCTAACCCTGTTTGCCTCAGTTTCCTCATTTATAAAACTAGCTGGAGAAGGAAATGGTAAACCACTCTAAGTATCTTTGCCGCGAAAACCCCAAAAGGGTCACAAAGAGCTGAATGCAATTGAAAATGACTAAACAACAGCAACAAATAGGCATAAGGGAAAGCTTTGGCCTGGGAGCCAGGAGACAAGTGCTGGCTCTGTCACTAACAAGCCATGTGACCTTGGCTAAGTCTCTTTACCTCTTTGGGCCTCAGTTTCTTTATCTGTAAAGCGGAAGAGGTTGGATGATGCAACTCAAACCAAATCCTGTAACAACAAATACTGGAAAAATCCTCCGTCCAACCAAAAAGACTTCCAAGCTTCAGCAATATACCCATTTATTTCAAATTGTATTGAACACAACAAAATTTCACTGTGACAAAGGAACTGGCGCACGTCCTAGCTAGAATTTTGTTATAATGGGGTTTAACATAGAAAACCAATGTTTATTTCCATCTGGGGTGGTTCTGCATTAGGCCTGGGGGTACATGCATGGAAGTAAAGGATGAGAACAGGGATGCCAAGATGCCAAGTATGTGAAATCTAACATTTTGTTCCCTGGGGAATTTGAAGCTCCAAGTCATTGGGGAAAGGAATAAATGGTTCTTGGCTCTCTAAGCTGGTGACCTCTATCGCACCTTTATCTCCTTGTGCAGATGACTGGGCAGCTGCCCTGCTGGACCCACTGGACTCTTCCTCAGAATAGAGTCAGCCTCACCACTCTTAGTTAGACAAGAGGACTCCAGAGGAAAGGAGAATATTACAGGCGGTATGGTACAGGGACAAGAACACTGGCTTTGAATCCCAAAGTTACCAACCTGTGTAGCCTTGGACACTTCACTTAAAAATGGAAACAAACAAATGTGTTTTAAGTTTTTATTATGTGCTAAGTACCTTATTGGAGGTCTGAGAATACAGATACAAATGCAAAGTAGTCCTTGCCCTCAAGAGTCTTACATTCCAATTGAGGGAGACAGTGGCCTTGGAAAGTTATGAGGAATGGATCCACTGGGGAATTGGTTGACACCCTTTCCAGGAGTGATGGTTATTGATTTGTTTGTGTCTGGAAAGGACATGGGAAAGGGAAGGTAAAGTGAAGCATGGTGGGAACTAGGCCTGTATTTAGTGGGGGGTGTGAGGTGAGAACCCAATAAGAACAGAGGGGCAGCAGGATGGGAGCTCTGGGGATGAAGAGATGGTTTCTTAGTGGTACCGTCTGGTTCTCAGTTTCTTTCTCTGCAGAGGGAGGCAAATGATTTCCGAGGTTCCTTCTGACTGTAAATCCTATGATCTGAGTTCTCAGAAAGCCCCTTTCCCAAAGCCCTGGCACTCTGTTTACCAGTCATAGGGTGGTGCCAAGAGATAGAAACGACTTTCACAAAAGAAGTTGAAGAATGAAGACTTCTTTGCTTCCTCCCAGGCTTCATCCACCTCCCAGTGCTGCTGTTCTTGTCCATTTTTCCTTCTTTGTATTCCTTCTCTAGGGTGGACCCTTCCCCTACTTGGCCAGAGATACCTGGGTATTCTTTCCAACTGGTACTGCCACTTCAAGGAGTGCTGTGACAGGGATGACTGTAGGATAATCAATAACATCACAGGTAAAAACAGTAACAGCAACAGCTCACGTTCATACAGCATTTTACAGTTTTAAAAGTCCTTTTTTGGTTTGAGTTTTGGAACAGAATCACCTTAGAATCTTAGAAATTGCATCATCCAACTTCCCAACTTTACAAATAAAGAAACTGAGGCCCAAAGAGGTAAAGGGACTTAACCAAGGTCACATGACTTGTAGGTATGCTATTAGCTTCATTTTATACTTCAGGAAATTAAGGCTTGGAGAAGGGTCAAATAACTTGTCAAAGGGGAAGCCATTTGGTTAAGGATACAGGATCAGCAAGTAAGGGAACCTGGGCATTGGCCCCATTTCCACAAATGAGATAATATGTGAAAAGTGCTTAACATAGTGCCTAGCATATAGTAGGTGCTTAATAAATGCTTGTTCCCTTCCATCTTCCACATTCTCAAGTTTAGTACTCTTTCTATTATATCTCACTGACTCTCTGGAAAAAACCTGTATCCCACATGGACAAAGGAGACAGCTAGGTGTGCAGTGGAGAGAGTGCTGGGCCTGGAGTCAGGAAGGCCTGAGTTCAAATCTGACCTCAAATGCTTATTAGCTATGAGATCCTGGGTAAATCAATTAACCTATCTGCCTCAGTTTCTTCAACTGTAAAATAAGAATGATAGTAGCACCTATCTCCCAGGGCTGTGAGGATCAAATAAGATAATACTTGTAAAGCTTTTACATAGTGCCTGGCACATAGTAGGTGCTTAATGAATGCTTGTTTCCCTCCCTCCAAAGGAAGGGACCCTGGCATCCTAAGTGAGGGGAGGTAATCAATCTATTAACAAGCATTTATTAAGTAGCTGCTTGTATCAGCGAGTATGCTAGGCACCAGGGATATAATGATAAGAATGAAACAGTCCCTGTCATCGATAGAAACAAAATACATACAAAGAAAATGCAATGATAGGAAAAAATACAAGGACTAGCTGCTGGGGGTGTCAGAAATAGGCATCATGTAAGAGGTAGAGCTCTTTCAGATGAATTTTAGGAAGCCAGAGATTCCAAGAGGCAGAATCCTCTAAGAGGAAAGTATGTTTATGGGATGAGTCAAAGTCTGTCCAAAATCACCGAGACAGAAGATGGACTGTGATGGAGGCAGCTTAAATCGTGATCAGACCTCCTGTATATTGTCATTCAGTGCCGTTTTGTAGCCTGACCACATGAGCCAATACTGACTGAGCAACCTGATTATGTGTGGGTCACCCCAGAGGCAGGGAAGCATAGGAAAACAGGGGGTCATTTCTCCCAGGCCACCCACTGGTGTCAGGAGTGGACTAGTGTGGAACACAGCTGAGAATATTCTGAGCCCAAGCATTCTCTGTGAGCATCGAATGAGGGCGTGAGATCCCCCTAAGCCATAATTTGTTAAATATTCAGAAATAGCTCTTCTCCTAACATTAGGTGAAGGGTCCCAGAAGCTGTGGGTGATTGTGCTGTATTTCACTGCAAACAGTGCTAATTTCAGAACAGTTTCTTTGTAAGGAAAGTAAGAATGAAGGCCAAACACACAAACATTTGCAGCTGCTTCTTGTAGGCATTACCCTGTGCTGGTGTGCTGGGCTAGTTTAGATGCTGACCTTGCCCTCACGGAACTTGCTACCTCTTCTGGGCATGTGGCAAACAGATAAAACTACAATATGCGTGATGGTTTTAGAGAGCTAAAAACTGTTCCAAATCCTAGGAGGAAGGTTCTTATTGGCCATGGCAATCATGGAAGTCTCCATAAGTAAGGAGTATTTGATTTGGGCTTTATAGAATAAGCAGAAATTCACTAGGATGAATCAATCTGTCAAACAACAAGTATTTATTTAGTACCTGCTATGTGCCAGGCACTGTGCTAGGCATAGAGAGTCATTAAAAAAAAAAAGAATGCAACAACTTTACTCATAAAGAGCTTACCATCACAGGGGGGCGATAACAAGTAGATATAGAAATATATACAGCACAAATGTAAAATTAATAAATACATATAGCTGAATACAAGGTAGTCTGGGAGGGAGGGCACTAGCAATTGGGAGGATTAGGAAAAGGTTTCCTGTAGAAGACAGTGGATGAGCTACATCTTAAAGGAAGAGAGATACCCTGTGAGGCAGAGGTAAGAGGGAGCCCATTCTAGTCATGGGAGATGGCCAGTACAAAGATACGGCAATGGGAGATATTGTGTCATGTGTGAGGAACAGAGAGACAGCCAATATTGGCTGGATCACAGAGTGTGGAAGGGGAGGAATGTCCTATGAAGCTGGAAGGACAGGGTGTAGCGCTAGGTTGTACAGGGTTTTAAAAGCTGAACAGAAGAATTTAGATTTTATCCTAAAAGGAATAGGAGCCAGTAGAATTGATTGAGTAGAGGAATCACATGATCAGATCTGTGCTTAAGGAAAATTACTTTGGTAGCAGCAAGGGGGATGGACTGGAAGGAGACTGTGGCAAGGAGACCAGTCACAAAGCTGTTGCAACAATTTAGATGAGAGGTAATGAGAGCCTGAACTAAAATGGTAGCTATGTGAGTGGAGACAATGGGTCAGATGGGAGAGATGTTGTAAAGATAGAAACGTCAAGTGGTCAAGATGGAGAGAAAAAACAATTAAGCACGGGGAACAGTGGGAGCAAAGGCATGGAGGTGGGAAAGCCTATTTGGGGGGTGAGCTATCCAGTTTGGCTGAAGGCGAGCAATAAAAGATTAGCCTGGACGGGTAGGATGGCTAGATTGTGGCAAGCCAGCCAAAGAGCATGAACTTTATGAAGTGTCCATCAAGGAACTTACTGATATGAGTGACATGAACATGAGAAAAAGGGGCATTTTGTCACATGGTTTTGAAGGCTGGTTTGTATTTACTTTGTATGTATTTTGTTTCAACTGACAAGTACATGTATCAATTTCGTCCAAAGGAATGTAGGCTCCTTGAGGGCTGGGACTATTTCATTTTTGTCTTTGTGTTACTTCCCTTGCACAGTACTCGGCACATGGAAAGGAAAGACCTGTTGAAATAGACCCATAGATGATGGTAACTCATCTGTAATAGGATGATGGAAGTGGGAAAGAGAAGAGAATGGAAATGAACTATGTTTTGTAGATAAAATCTGGAGGATGTGACTTTGAGATGATTGAATGGATATAAGATGAGAGGGAGAAAAAAAACCCAAAGATAATCACATGCCTATAAATACACAGTTTGTAAACAGGAGAACCAGAATTTGAACTTACTTCTCTAGCCCTACAGGAGGGCATCCTGATAACCCACATTTTTCCTGCATCTTGGCAGTTTTTTGTTTTTTTCTTTAGGCAATTGGAGTTAAGTGACTTGCCTGGGGTCACACAGCTAGTAAGTGTCAAGTGTTTGAGGCCAGATTTGAATTCAGGGCCCATGCTCTATCCACTGCACCACCTAAGTGCCCCTTCTTGGCAGTTTTTTGAGAATAACTGAGTTGATCCAGGCTTTGAGCATCTTGAAATTGTGGTGGTCCCCATTAGCAGGATGTACCTTTAATGTCTCCAATGCCTTTAGTAACTGAATACTGTAGTCTAAATGAGATGCTGGCTTCTCAGCTTTCTCTAGTACTCCTTTCCTAAGGGCGCCATAGCCAGTCAATCATAAAGGCCTTTCTGGTCACAACAGCTCCTTCATTCAGCCTCCCCCCAATTCTACCTTCACTCAGGAATTTTGACTTGAGCATTCCTTGTTCCCTGTGATGATAACGGTGATAACGCCCATGACATCTATTTATTAAATAAGTTCTAGTTCTAGGTGATAGGAGAAATACAAAGTTTGGATGAGAAATGTCTTCATGGAGTTTACAGCCTAGTAAAGAAGTCTACAATCTAATAGCAACGATCCTGGGAGGTAGACTGTGCAGGTAGTTTTATTCCCATATCACAGAATAGGGAGTTTGGGAAAGGTGAGGGGATGTGCTCAAAGTCACATAGGAGACAAAAAGGGGGAAACAAAAAGCAGCTCCTCCCCACTACATGGTCATTGGCCTCTATCCTACAAAATATAAAGGCTAGGAGTAACTTTGAGAATCCTTTCTCCGTGTAAGTGATCCCACAAATGAAACATTTCAGAAAATCTCTAAGATCTTGAAGAAGTAGATTTTATAACATTTTTCAGTTCCAGGCAGAAGGTATCCATGCTTCAGGCAGGCATTTGGACTAAATGACCTGGTAAGCCCCTTGTAGTTCTGAGACTCCATCTGCATAAATTTGGAGCTAGAAAAATAAAGATCACAAATACACACACACACACATCCATCAGTCATCTCACAGTAACATAACTTGGTTGAGGGCCTAAAGTAATGCAACTATATTGAAGGATAATCTAATCCCAGTCTTCCATTTTTTTATATGGGGTAAAGATCACCCAGTCCAACATCTTCATTAAAAAAATTAGGAGGCTGAGGATCAGAGGGATTAAATGTCTTGCCCAAAGGCACATATCCAGTAAGTAAGGGGACTAAGATTTGAACTGAAATCCTCTGATTCCAAATCCAGGGCTCTTTCCACTGTAATACACTATTTTTCTGTCTTTATGTCCAGTTAGTAAGCTCCTTGAGAGCAGAGGCTGTGTCATCATTCACATTTCTATCCCCAGAGACTATCCCAGGGCCTTCACATAGTAGATGCTTAACATGTTTTTTGAATTTATTTGTTAATCAGTCAATAAACATTTATTAAGCACCTATGTGCCAGGCATTGTGTTAAGCTCTGGGGATACAAAGAAAGGCAAAGAAAAAAATGTTCCTTTGTTAGGGATCTGTAAGGATGTAGAGGGCCACAGGCTGTTCATGAGGTCTCACTGATGGGCGGAGGCCCCTCTGTGGTGACTGATCCATGAGCAAGATTGCCTGGTTCGGTGCTCCATTCTATGCATCTCTAACTTCCCTAGTTACTCATTAGTCATTAACAGTATATTTGTGATCGGTGGTAGGCAAGTGCACGGACTGTGCATGCACTGTCCTTGAGCACAGCATGGGCTGTATGTCATTGTAACATGAGACAGAATTCTTGTTATTTTACTATACAGGTGAGTGCTTTGCTAACAATAAACAGAGTTGCTGCCATCTTTTCTCCCGCCTCATCAGTGCATGCTTGGAGTGAAAGAATCAAGCTGGTCTTGATTCTTCAGGTGATTGGGAAACCCTAGGTCCTAGGTAGGCTCTGTAACCAAGTGAAGAGGTCGTGACAGTCCTTGCTCTCAAGAAGCTCAAAATATGATGGGAGAGATAACATGCAAACAATTATGTACAGATAAGGTATAGGCAAGATAAGTGGGAGAGGACTGACAAAGGGAAAGTACTAGAATTAAGGGGAATTGGGAGTCTGCTGTCCTTTTTGCTGCAGTTTAGGCCCATTGATTTCTAGGTCTATTCTCTGGTGTGACAGAGAATGACTGATCCCTAGCACCTCCATATAAAAAATGGAAGACTGGGATTAGATTATCTTTCAATATAGTTGCATTACTTTAGACCCTCAGACTAGTTATGTTACTGTGCAATGACTGATGGATGTATGCGTGTGTGTATTTGTGCATTTGTGTATATACATATACATATATATGTGTATATATATAATACACACACACACACATATATATATATATATACACACATATATACACATATATCTGTGTGACTTTTTCCCTCTCCTCTTAGGCCTGGAGATAGACCTAAGCACCCGACTACATGGTCAGCACTTGGTCCGGGAAGTGGTTCTGAAATCAGTAAAGGGCTTCCTCTCAGTGCCTCAGCCAGAGAAACCTCTAGCTCTGTCATTCCATGGCTGGTCTGGCACAGGCAAGAACTTTGTGGCTCGGATGCTGGCAGATCACCTGTACCGAGACGGGCTGGAGAGTGAGTGTGTTCAGGTGTTCATCTCCATGCTTCACTTCCCTCATCTGAAATATGTGGACATCTACAAGGTGAGAAGCAGCTCTGGAGGGTCTATGGAGAATATCTTCAGCCATGAGGCCATGGTCATGGGAGAGTCCTGCCCATAAGCCTCATTGGCTGCCACCTAGGCTGAGGGATGCTACAGAAGACACTGCAAGGAAGTGGGCAGGCTCTCTTGAAAATGTCAAAGAGTGGATCAATCAGCAGTGGGAGGGTGAATTTCCTGATTTCAATAAGGACAAGAGAGGGGTTAACCTTTAAAAGAGATCAGCTTCTCTGCCCAGCTTTTCTCTGTTTAAATGCAAGCATGGGGGCTGTGGTACTTCTGAGAGGGCAGGGAGGGTATCATGTAGGCTAGGTCTAGGGAGAGGACATCGCAGTTCCTCTGAATCCAGCTGGAGAATGAAGTGGGATCACCCTTTAAGCCCTGACTTTGTGATGTTGTCAAACAACATAAGATCCTGAGATTTAGAACTGGAAGAGACCTCAGAGCTCAGCTGACCCAACCCCCAGAAATGAAATGATTTGCCACATGTCATCGATAAACCTGCATAGGAATAAATAGTATGCCATAGAATCATGGAGCATGAGAACTGGATAGGCTTTTTCTGATGGCTGAAGTACCAAAGGACAGTGTGGTGTAGTGGACAGATGCAGAAAGACCTGGGTTCAAGTCTTGTCTCAAATGCATACTGGCCACGCAACCCCAGGTAACTCTCGTTGCACTAGGCACCTCTCTAAGACTATAAGTTGCAGAGAAAGTACCAATATGCATTGGTAGAGGGAGTTTCTTCATCAGTATGATGAAGAGTGAACATAATAAATGCTTATTGACTGACTGATGCTGATGAAATCATAGCTCTATTCCAAAGTACCAAAATCCTGTCACCAACGAAACTGTTATCAGTAACCCTAAGGTTACATCACAAAATCACAGGAATGTATAATAGATTATTCTCAAAACATAAAGAATGAATTTTGACAAAATCTTCAGTAGTATATTTCAACAAACTTCTTCTAAAGTGTTACTTTGAGTTCTCATCAGGCCATGGAGATGACCCTGGCTTCTCAAAGTCTAGACTAGCAAAGCATATGTTCTGCCAGATCTCATCAAGCTAGAAAAAAAGTTGGCATCCTCAACAAATGTCTGTTTGTCATCCAAGACCAGCTAGGTAAAGTTTAGAGAGTTTTAACGTGAGAGTGTTGGCAAGAATGGTAGCTTTGGGGTCAGGAAGACCTGCTTGCCAAGATGTTGATCTGGATCCGTGAAAGGAGTCCTCACTCTGATGGAATCCTGGATGATATTAAATTAAACCAAAAGTTAACATGAAGAACCCTTGGTATAAGAGCCGAGAAATAATATTGTGGAGGTAATCTACAGATGAAGATTGGTAGATCAGGAGGACCATGAATTCTTGGGTGATAATTACTGAGAGATAATGGAGCATTGGGTCAAGGTTGAGTATGGAAGAAAGTAAAATCAGAATAGGATATATATGGAAATGTGGAAAGAATCCTGGATTTGGAGTTGCCAGGTCTGAGTTTACATTCCAGTTCTGCCATTTTCTCCCTGGGTGTTATTAGTCAAATTGACCTTGTGGGGCCTCGGTTTCCTCATTTGTAAAGTGAAGAGTGTGAAACTTCAGAAGTCTCTTGCATCTCTAAATGCTCCCTTGATGTTATTGGAGAGTTATCCTTCTTTGGTTTGCAGTTTTAATTTTTAGAGTTTTTTCTTTTGAAATTGTTAAGGTAATTTATTGGGAAGCTCATGTTTAAAAAAAGGTGGGGGTGGAAAGAAGCACAATGGCATAGTAGCTAGAGCAAGATTTTTTTTTTTTTTGGCTAGGCAGTGGGGTTAAGTAACTTGCCCAGAGTCACTCAACAGTAAGTGTTATGTGTCTGAGGCCGGATTTGAACTCAGGTCCTCCTGAATCCAGGGCCGGTGCTCTGTCCACTGCATTACCTAGCTGCCCCTTAGAGCAAAATTTCTTTAATGTGAGGTGCATGGGGGCATCTTTGGATAGATTCCAGGGGGTCCATGAACTTGATTGGGGGAAAAAAATCCCATCTTTATTTTCACTAACTTCGAACTGAAATTTAGCCATTTCCTTCAGTTATGAACATAGACAACAAAACATCATTCTGAGGAAGGGTCTGTAGGTTTCACCAAACTGCCAAAGGGGCCCATGACACAAAAAAGGTTAAGAAATCTTGGGCTAGAAGGTCAGCCTTCTTATCAGGAAGATATGCATTTAAATCCTGCCTCTGACATGTATTAGCTGTGGGACTATGGGGCAGGTAAGTCACTGAACCCCTCAGTGCCCCAGGCAACTTCCTGAGTCCCATTGTAAATGTGCATTCATTGGTGGGTAGTTTCTGCCCTGGGAATGCAACCCTCCTCCCACCATCTATTCCCCTCAAGAAGAGATGGATTACCATTGAAACCTGCTAGTTTCAGTCTGAACTTGTACAGCAAAGTTTGCTTAAGTGAATGGGGATGTTGCCTAAATGTTAACAATACCCTCACCTCAAAATTGTACCTTATTATACAGAAACTAAAGGCCTCGTTGATCAATTAGATGATGCCAGATTGCATCCAGGGTTCTTCAAATTCATCAAGGAATGACGTGGCTAGGATCAAACAGACAAGCGGACGAGCTCTGCGGCTCGGCCCAGGACTTTTGACAATATTCTACAAACTTTTATTAAGTTTTATATTGAGTACTGTCCCGAGCACTGGGGGAGGTACACAGTGTAAGTACTATGTAAGTGCATGGTCCCTGCCTTCATGAAGCTTGTCGTCTAATAGGATATAATAACACATTTAAATTGTTTCATGCTTTAATAAACACAATCTAAATGTGGGCAGCACTTTATCTACAATAACGCTGAAGTCAGGCATTGCAAATATTGTTATCCCAATTTAAGTATGAAGAAATTAAGGCTCAGAGGGAAGTAGTTTACTCATAATCACACATTTAGAATCAAAGGATCACAGTCAATTTCCATCCTAGAATAGCTCTAACCATTTAAAAAGTTCTTTCTACTGAGCCAAAATCTGCCTCTTTGTAATTGCTACCCACGGGTTCTCTGTAGTCAAATGTAAGGAAAATAAACTTCTCCGAATGACAACCTTTGAAATATTCAACGACAGTGAGTGAGCATCACCGCCCCCCCCCCCAATTTTCTCTTGTCTAGGACTAAAGGGCTGAGATCTGGAGTTGCTGTGTTTGTGTACACCCGTGAGTGCATAAGTTGGTGGTGTTGTGTGAATAGAAGGGCATGCTCTGTGTATGGTGGTTAGAGGGGTTAGGAACTCTGTAGTTTGTAACTGGTTACTATATGGCCTAAATTAATTCCAGATAAGGTGAAGATTTCTAGGTGCCCTCAATACTTTCTATTCACCACTGTGCTTTAGAAAGAACTTCTTTTCGGAGCTAAAGAAAGATAGATTTGTCCATAAGATCAAGGTGTTTTTTTCAGTGTGGGCATTCCTTCCACCATCACAGATCAAAACTCCTCCAGGGCTTAATTCTTGCAGAGTTGCAATGACTGAAGAATTCACTACCCTGTGGCCAAGCTGGCCATGAGTTCCTTGTGTCCTTAGGGGGTGGACATATAGTTTGTTACCACCATCATATTTGAAGCTGCTCTAGCTTGTTAGGAGCTGACAGAGTCCTCAGGAAGCTAGGGTCCCCTCTGCACCCCCAGGGACCCTTGGAGAAGGATTTCACTGGAGTAATCCAGTATTTTGTAGAATACCATAATAATAGCTAGCATTTCTGTAGCATTTTAAGATTTGCTAAGTAATTCACATCATTTATCTTCACAAAAACCATCAGAGGCAGGTGCTGTTATTAGCCTTATTTTACAGACGAGCAAAAACCAAGGCATACAGAGGTTATGTGACTTGCCTAGGATCACATAGATAATAAGTTTCTGAGGCAGGATTCACCTCAGTTCTTTCTGACTCTTAAGTCTAGCACCATATCCATTACACCACCTAGCTGCCTCTAGTAATCTATTAACATTAGTAATTGATAAGAGTTCATCTCACATAGCTTGGCATAACTACACACTACCTTCATCTCTTTACAACTTCTGTAATAGTCTCAGCTGGAACATCTACTCTGGGGACCATCTAAGAGGTTCCTGCCCCTCAGTTCACTCCCAAAAGCAGAAGCTGTTTTTGGAGAAATGACACCCTGGTCCTACCCATGATATCGGCTAGCATTTAGATAGCACTTTAAAGTTTGCAAAACCCTTGACAAATCTTGACAAATCTTATCTCATTTTATCCTCACAGCAACCCCAGAATGTAGGTACTATCCTTATCCCCATTTTACAGTTAAGGAACTGGAACAGACAGAGGTTAAATGACTTTCCCAGGAAGAATTTGAACTCAGGTCTTTCTGACTCCAGGCCCAGCATTCTATATCCAACCCAACACCTAGCTAGCTGCCTTTAATGACTCACTCTGGCCTTCCATTTATCTCCATGCAGGAAAAGCTGATGGAACAGGTGAGTGACACAGTGCGGCGCTGTGGCCAAGCCCTGTTTGTCTTTGATGAGGCTGAGAAACTGCCCCCAAGTCTGCTGGAGACTCTGAAGCCATTGCTGGATCACTATGACACCATCAAGGAGGTAGATTACCGGAGAGCCATCTTCCTTTTCCTCAGGTGAGAACAGGGGAACAAGAGAATGGAGGGGCCAAAGTGTAAGCCAGGAACCCCCACTCCCTTTGCCCTGCTGCCTGGGTATTAACGTATGGCCAGATGGAACTGAGTTTGTCATGTACCACAACACATGTACCCCTTGATTCTATATTCCCTCAAGCTGTTTTCCAGTTGCGTTATGGGTTGCTTTTTTCCCTGAAACTAACCTATAAGAGACTTAGTCATAAGGATCTCATTTCCCCTCTGTGTTGAACAGTCTTGGGCACCTGGTACTCAATAAATAAATTTTGGTTGGTTTATGGAGTAACTACTATACTGAAGGCAAATGGATGAGAAAGGATGAAGTAACTGTTACTTAGTAATATTACTTAGTATTACTAAGGAAGACTGAGTAATCTCCTTAGATTTAAAGAAAAATTGTAGCTGCCTTGCTTTCTAAAATTATTTGAATACAGGAAGATGTAGTAGATAACTCTTCAAGGAGGCATCCTATGTCATTTAGCACCCCTTGCATGCAGGGCCAGGGGAGAATTTATCCCCATTTTAAGGAAAGGTAGATTGAAGTAAGCAAGGTGAGCCCATTTGGCAACATTTCTTTGTCCACTAAATGACTTTTCCATATCACACCTGGACATTAAGAGGGTAGTATCAACTGGGGAGAAGATAAAAACTCCAGGTAACTTGGAGGATTGCTTTCAGAGGTAACTCCTTTCTAGGTGGAAAAGTGTGAAGTGGGTGCACTTAGGTGCATCTCTTCACTGAAGAAGAGGAGTCCGGGGCTGAATTGGCTTCATAAAATGACTCCTCAAAAATCGTCTGCCATGACTTCTTGACTAACTTAGGAGGGACTACATATTGCTTTTATTCATTCATTCATTCATTTATTGCATACATTTCTCTCCTTTTGTATTCTCTTCCTTCCCAATAGCTCTAGGCCCACATTTATTCTCCATTTTCACTTAAAATGATGACTGCTACTTCTCCTTTCTCTTTATTCTTTCCTTCTCTCTTCTCCTTTCACCCCGATCCCTATTCTCCTTCACGATCACACAGCAAGCACCATGTGAGAGTAAGAAGCTGGAGACTTTTTGATCTGTGTTTCTTAGGATGTGGCAAGCAAAAGAGAATTTAGTGGGGGGTTTTTTAAATCCAAAGTGTTGTGGCTCTCTTTAAGGGTCAGCCAGTCAGCAAGCATTTATAAATGATCCCTGTCTTCAAGGAGCTCATTCCCAAGAGGTAGGGAGGAGGGAGCCCAGGATGGGAGAGGCAAGACCCAGGGAGAGGGAGGAGAAAGGATCACAGTTAAGTTTTTAAGTAGTAAGGGCATTTGGCCCCCAAAACTTCACAAATTAGTAAAAATTGCAACAAGTGGCTGGTAAGCATTGTTCTAGACAGCCCTCACCTTTTATGTTCTGTTTTCTAGACTGGTAAGACAGGCTCAGTCTTCCTTACTCCTCTTGTTTTCTTTGGTCAGATGAAAAGCCTAACTACATTCCCACTTTTCATCTGTTGGGAAATCACTTGCATGCACCCACTGGCCTTTGATGTGTATAGATTTCATAATGGCACAGAGGTCAGGCTGTGAGCTTTTTCAGATAAAAGTTTGCTTTTGTAATATTTGGGTCATTGACCTCATTCAACATGCCCTTCTCCCCAAGCTGTCTCCTGTCTGCCCAAATCATCACCTTTCCCCCACTGACTTGTCTTCTTTACAATTGCCAAGGTCTTTGGACAAGCTTTGAAGGAGACAACCTTGAATCTCTGGGAGAAAGCTGCCAACAGGAAAATATTTTCTAGTTTAAAGTCTAACTTAATGGTAATAGTTTGGTGACACTTCTCACCGTCAGCTCCCTATGAAGTCAACCATTCAGTTCACCATGTTTATTGAATCTGTTGGATAGAGAGCACTGAATTTGGTGATGTGTATAAAGAAACTGAAGGTAGCAAAAAATGACTTTTGTCTCATAGAATTGGCAGGAAGTGGCTTTAAAATAAACAGAAACTTAAGTTCTAATAGATTTAGAACTACGTGCACAAATGTGAAGGGAACAGGAATCCTGCTCTAGTTGGAGCTGATTGAGCACAATCATGCAGGAGTCTTTGGGTGAAGGTTAAAGGAAGCCCTTTCATATGCTTTAGGTAGTTAGGGATTGTGTGCATTTTTATCCACTTCCATTATCAAGTGCAGTTAATGGACTTTAGGAAAATCTCTAAGCCCTCTCTATAAGGCCTATAGAAGACATGGCAGGTAAGAGACTGGCGGAAGGCTGGGGTGCCAGACAGTTGCTTTAACACTCCATCAAATACAAGGATTACATCTTCCCCAGTGTCATTACAGAGTATTTGAATGCCTTCTGATTCTTGTTTAAAGCCTGGGACCTGTTTTCAAGTATCCTAAATAAAGCGGTAGAATATAGTTAGATTCTGTATGGGTAAATTGTTAACAAATAAACACTGGAGGGGTTTTTTGCTTTTATTTAAAGAACTTTTTGTGTTTGTAGGAAAAGCAGGCACACAGAAAATGCTTGTGACCAACATAGCCTTTTTTTGGAGGACAGGGATAGGAACAGGAAGTGGACATAGGATTTCATTAGTAGAGAGAACTCCCTCTCACCAGTGCAGATCAGCACCTTCTTGTCAGTTTATAGTCTTAGAGTTCCCCAGAGGCCTAAGAGGTTAAGTAACTTGTCAAGGGTCCCTCAGACAGCCAGTCAGAGGCAGGAACATGAACACAAGTCTTCCTAACCTTCCAGATGGGCTCCCTGTCCATTATGACAAGCTCCCTCTCTTTATTGCAGAAAGCCTCTTAATCCTGAAAACTCCCAAGCCTGAACTTGCTCATGGAGGTGGAGGAAGTTTCCTGGTTCAGCTCTCAGTGGTTACTTTCCTGATGGGGAGCTGCTCAGTAGGCTTAGGGCCTGTAGAGCTAATGAGGAAATGTAATTGCACTCACTTGTAAGAGCAATTGTTTGGAGAAAATGGTGGTGAGCTGTTTTCTATTCTGACAGGGACAAAGGAGAAATATTTTAACTTATGGTCAGAGGAAGACTCGTAGAAAGAGTCGTAGGTCAAAGGTCAGGACCCTAGGTCTTAGTACCAGTTTTGCCATAAACTAAGTCATATTCTATTAGGGAGTGGTTTAGCTCAGTCTACACAACACTAATATGGACATACCACCATGTATTTCATGGGGATGTATGAGAATTAAGTGAGGTCAAGAAAAAGTATTATGCATACAAACTATTTGAGAGTGGGAAATTTCTCTCCCTAGACATCTTTATGAAAAGCATAGACATCTATCTATGTCTTACCTGAAACAATGATGTGACTTCCAGAGGTGACTTCCTGACCTCTGATTTTTTTTTATTGACTCAGAACCAAATATTTAGATGGGTTACATTGGATAAGGCTGAATGGTCCCTCTGTACTATAAGTATGGTGGTGGTTGAAACTGACACTCAGGACAGTTTCTCCATTGATGAAATGGGGTGAAGATCAGCGTTAGCCTAAGAAATACTTGCTAGGGGTAAAGTATGGGGTTAAGGATGAGAGACCTTGGTTGTTGGAAGAGACCTTAGCGATCATCTAATTCAACTCCTTATGTTACAAAAGGTACAATCTAGTCAGTCAATGAACATTTATGAAATGCCTATTAAGTGCTAGGCCAGGCCTGTACAACATACAGCCTGTGGGCCGCTTGCAGCCCACCAAAGGATTTCAGGCCTACATAAAATGTAGGGTTGCCACTGCGCACTCTCCTGTTTGTAATGTGACCAGTGGAAACCACCCATTGTCAGTCTATGTCTAGCCTAACCTATCTGTGGCTGAAGAAGTTTACAAGTTGTGCAAGTCTGTGGTAGGCACTGTGCTAAGTGCTGGGGATACAAAAAGAGGCAAGAGATTGTTTCTGCCCTCAAGGAGCTTACATTCAAACCAGTAAGACCACAAGCAAACACATATGCCCAAACACACTGTGTACAGGATGAAAAAGAAACAACAGAGGAAAGGCAATAGAATTGAGGGGTTGGGTTTTAGTATACTGACCTCCTTGCTGTTACATGAACAAGACACTCCACCTCTCAGCTCTAGGTTTCTCTATAGCTGCAATTCCCCCATGCCTGGAATGCTCTTTCCTCTTCTCTGCTTATAAGCCTCCCTCGCTTCCTTCAAGTCCCAACTGAAAACTCATCTATAGCAACAGATGTTTGAGACAGGCTGCAAAGGGCAAAGTGACAGGACCTGGCAACAGACTGGAAGTGGGGGCAGGGTGAAGAGTCAGGTTGATGCCTAGGTTGCAAGCCTGAGGGACTGGAGGATGATTTTGCCCTCTATGGTAATAAGGAAAATTTGGTGCTGTGGGGGAGGGGGAAAGGGTGTTAGGGGATGAGATAATGAGTTTGTTTTTGGACGTACTGAGTTTAAAATGTCTACTGGACATTTGAGATGTCTAAAAGGGTAGTTGGAGATACAAGATTAGGGGTCAGTAGAGAGGTTAGGGCAGAGATAAGTATATTTGAAAATTGTCAGTGCAGTAATTAGATTCATGGGACCTAATGAGATTACCAAGTAGTGTAAAGAAAATAAAGAGAATGGGCACAGTGGATATAGTACAGGAGGACCTGAGTTCAAATCCAGTCTCAGACACTTGACACTTACTAGCTGTGTGACCCTGGGCAAGTCCCTTAAATCCATTGCCTAGCCACAAAAAATAAATAAACAAAAGCTACATAGGGGCAGCTAGGTGGCCCAGTAGATAGAACTCCAGCCTTGGAGTCAGGAGGAACTGAGTTCAAATGTGGCCTCAGACACTTGAAACTTACTGGCTATGTTTCCCTGGGCAAGTCACCTAACCCTGAACGTCTCATCAAAAAGAAAAAAAAAAGACAAACAACAAAAAAAGAAAGAAAATGTAGAGAAGAGGGTCTAGAACTGAACTCTTTGGGAAACTTACACTTAAAAGGCATAACCTGGATGAGGATCCAGCAAAAGAAACTGAGAAAGAATGGTCCAATAGACAGGGGGAGAACCAAGGGAGAGAGTGGTGTACTGAAAACCTAGAGAAAGGATTAAATCAAGGAGAAGAGGATGATCAACAGTGTCACAAACTGCAGAGTGGCCAAGAAGAATGACGACTGATGAAAGACCATGGCATTTGGCAATTAAGATCTGGTCATTTTAGAAAAAGCAATTTCAATGAAATGACGAGGTTAGTAAGAGAGTGAGAGGGAAGTGAGAGACACCCATTGTAGACAGCCTTTTCCAGAAGTTTTGGCCACAAAGGGCAGAAGAGATATAGGATGATAGCTAGCAGGATGGAAGGATCAAGAATTTTCAGGATAGGGCAGGCATTGGGCATGTTCACAGGCAGTAGGGAACACACCGTGACAATCATTTATCAATGAGAGAAAAGACAAAGAAAGTCTAAGGCATTTGCTTCTGGGGGAAAAAGAATAAAGCCTAGACATGCTATAAAGGCAAGGAAACATTTGCTGCATGGAAAGATGAATTGGGCTTGGGAACTGAGAGATGCGGCAGCCCAGGATTGCCTGGGTTTGGGCCCCAGTGCTGCTACTTATTAGCTAGCTGTGTAACATTGCGCAACCCACTGAAACGTCTTGAAACTGAGGTTTCTCTTCCATCACATGGAGACGACGTCCTCTGTGAAGTTTAGGTATGTTCAGAGGCTGTAGCATGGTAAGTTTATAGCTAGAAGGGACTAGTTATAAGTCACCTAGTCCAACGCCCCTCCTTTTACAAGATGAGAAAACTGAGCGCCAGAGGTGAAGTTATTTGAACCTAATTCCTCCAAATACAGTGTGCACCATATAAACATGGCCATACTGACCAAAATTTGGGGAAACCCCCTTTTCAATACAGGAAACTGTGAACGACTGGGGACCACATAATTCTCCTGAAGGTGGCTGGGAGAGATTCTGGGCAGAGGTTTATGCTGCGTTGTCATTTGGACACCCTCCAGTTAAGGGAGGTAGATTTGTCTAAAACACTTCACCTTCTGTAGATAATAACACTCCAGGGCATTCACTTGGCTGTGTAACAGGGCTGGCTTTTCACCTGATGACTGATTATGTATTCTCTGGGTATACAAATGACTAGAAGTTGCAATCCCTTTCCAGACCAGTCTTCCCGTAGGTCAAGTGAGCTGGCACAGGGTGAGGAGTTAAGCAAGAACTTTAGTAAACAGGGGGAAAAAAGGACAGCTGGAGCTATGCAAAGAGCAGTAGGGCCCTAGAAGAAAAGGGTGGTTGTGTGGTTACAGGTTACAGGCATTTCTTTGTAACCCATGCAGTAACCCATAGCACCTAACACCCATGGGTGCTCAAGAGCCAGATTAATGCTGAGAATAGTCAGATTGGCCTCACAGAGCTGAGAAATATCTGACCAGGGCATGAACCATTAAACCACAAAACTTTAAATAAGGTGAGGAAGGTTAAGTGACTGGTCCCAGATCGCATGGTGTAGATGGTAACAATTAGCAAAGCAGATGTGAATCTGGGTCATCTGTCGTCAAACCCTGCTGATGCCAACATGCTGAGGTCTGCCTGTTGAGGCTTTGGCAAAGGGAGAGGGAAAGAGAAAGGAGAAGGAAGAAGGAAGCAGGGGGAGGGTGCCTGCTTTGCATCTGTAGGGGCCATAAATGATTCACCCAGGAAGTGGATGTCTAATGACATCCAGAGAAAACGCCAAAGGCTCATATTAAATAACAGGGTTGTCCTTCCCATTATTCCTCAAACAGCTCCTAGGATTTGCAAATAATGTCATTAATATTTTTAAAAATACATTGCATTGATGGGTGGCAGCTAGGTGGCGCGGTGGATAGAGCACCGGCCCTGGATTCAGGAGGACCGGAGTTCAAATCCGGCCTCAGACACATAACACTTACTAGCTGTATGACCCTGGGCAAGTCACTTAACCCCACTGCCTCGCCAAAACAAAACCAAAACAAACAAACAAACAAAAAAACCAAAATACATTGTGTTGATGCCTTTTGTTTTTATATCACAGAAATTTCTGGGTGGAAAAAAACCTTCTTCTACTCACCTCCAAATCAAACTCTTCTTATAACAAAGAAAAAACAATTGAACATAAATGCCAAATATAATGATTACACCGGACAATCTATACGCCATTTTATTCTAGCAATCTCCCGACTCTCTGCCACAAGCTTTATTTGATCGTTTGTTGTCCAGGACCATTTTTGGTTTTTCAGTTACTTAGGAGTTTAACTTCATGTTATGGATCTTTCCATTCACAGTATTGTCGTCCCTATGCATGTGTCATTCTTTTGGAACTGCTTATCTCATCTCACCATCGATGTTTATCTGCATCAATTCATACAAATCTTCACGTTTCTCTGAATTGCTCATTTTCTCACTTCTTACTACATCCATATTCCATTATGTCCATAAACCTAACTTTTTTCAGCCATTTTCCAACCAATGGATACCAACTTTGTTTCTAGTTGTTTACTACCACAAGAGGTGATGCTATGAATATTTTGGTATCTTTCTGTCTTTTACTCCTTTAGGAAATTTGCCCAGTAGTGGGATCACCGGATCAAGGGTATTGACAGTTTGGTCACTTTTTTTGCGTAATTTCAAATTGTCCTCCAGAACATTTGGGCTAATCCACAGCACCACCAACAGTGCCTTCTGACCACCAACACTGTTCCACTGGGGTCAGCTTTGCCAATTTGTAGGGTATGAAACCCAGGCAAAAAGAGTCTCTGCTCTCAAGGAGCTCACACTCTGCTTGTAGAGATTTACATGCAAGCAACTATGTCTCAAAACGATTTGTTTTCATTTGAATGTCTCTTAACAATCTGCCATTTGAAACATATTTCCAAATAGAGTTTGAAATTTTTCTTTTGAAAACTGTTCATATACTTTGACAATTTATCTATTAGGGAATGACTCTTTGTGTTATATATTTGTACAATTGATATATATATGTGTATGTATATATAAAAATCTTGGGTATCAGATTTTTATCAGTGATATTTAACACAAAGTTCTTCTTGCTCTTCAGCTTATTTGATCTTCATTGATTTTGTTCTTACAAAAGCTTTTTCATTTTATGTAACTGAATTTGTATTTTGTTTTTTATGATCTTACCCCACCCTCATCCCACTCTCTCATAAGTACTTGAACAGTCTAATTAAAGTTTTCACCTTCTCTCTCTCCATTGATAGTGAAAAATGAGGAATGAAAGGGCCAGGAAAAAAAATAATTGTGGGTCTGATGAATCCAAATACAATAACAATTAGACCCTGAATACTGATGATATTAGGTCATATTTCTATAGTACTCTAAGGTTTACAAAGCAAATTTCCCACAATGACTCTGTGGAGGCAGATAGGTACAATATTATAATTACCACTTGACAGACAAAGGCATAGAGAAGTGAAATGACTTGCCCTAAATCACACAGTATGAGAGCTAGCTTATGATCATAAGTTCAATATTCCAATATGGTGGAAAATAGTGCATCTACGTGGCACAGTGGACAGAGTGCTGGCCCTTGAGTCAGGAAGACTCATCTTCCTCAGTTCAAATCTAAATTCCAGACACTTACTAGCTGTGTGACTCTGGGCAAGTCACTTAAAACCCTGTTTGCCTCCATTTCTTCATCTGCAAAATAAGCTGGAAAAGCAAATGGCAAACCACTCCAGTATCTTTCCCAAGAAAATCTCAAATGGAGTCACAAAGAGTCGGACTTGACTGAAAAACTAAACAACATGGCGGAAAATGACCTGAAATAGAAAGCTGAAGACCTAGATTGAATGAATGAATGTACTTATAAAAATTTACTACATGCAGAACACTTTGAATACAACATAAAAGTAAGCCAGAACATACTCTCAAAAAACTCACATTCTAATGTGGGAGATAACACATATGGAGGGTTTAAGATTCCAGTTGAAGTTGCTACATACAAGTAATCTTGCTACAAAGCTTCTTTGTCCCCTTCTGCAAACTGGAGACCATCATTATGTAGAGTGCAAGAATTCATCCTTTAGACAGAGGAGCTATCCGACCTCTGACCCCCTTTGTTGTAGTTTGTCATCATTCCCTTATGCTAAGATTCTCTATTTGTCTCAGGTACTTTCGGCACCTTAGAAGTCTTAGGGAACAGGGAGAAAAGTAACTACCAGGGACATTTATATGGTGCTTTAAGGTTTGGAAAGTGCATTCTCTCGATCTCTCTTTCCCCCTCCATCACCACATTTGATCCTCACAACAACCCAGTGAGCTAAATTCTTCAGACTTCATTATGTCCATTTTGAAGAGATTAAGCACAGGCACTGGTGATGGAATCAGGACTTGGGTTCGAGTTCTGATTCTTCAGCTACTTTACTATCTGTGTGTGGGTTACTCACTGAATTTCTCTAAGATTCAGTTATTTCATCTACAAAAGGAGGGACTGACTAGAGAACCTCTCAGATTCACAGTCCTACTTAATTTTATTGGCTTCTCTCTGAGATTTTTTTTTCAATTTATTCTGTATTTATCATGTCGGTACCATGGTTGTTTGCGTATAGTCTTTATATTAGACTGGGAGCTCCTTGGGCTGTTGTTGCACCTTCCTCTGTATTTCCAGCAGTGTCTGACATGTAGCGGATGCTTAATAAATGCTTGTTGACATCAGCTCCAATGCTAAAGGCCTGATCATATGATTTGCCCCTACAGCTACAGAGAGAGCCTTGAATTTGTTAGGTTCTGGCTGCTTCAATGCAACTTAGGTGATGTAGTTAGTAATCTCTCCCCTCTCCAACTTTTGGTTTAGAATAGGATTTTTCAGCGAAGGGTGTGGCTCTGCCATATCCTCCCCAAACAAATGCACTATTCTGTTGGAAGGTGTTTTGGTACAAAAAGAGGAGGAGAGAAAAATAACTAGCCCTTTCATGCCTTTCCAGTAACCTTGGGGGCAACACCATCAATGAAGTGGTCCTGAGCTGGCTCAGGGCAGGACGCTCCAGGGAAGAGATCACCATGGAGGACCTAGAGCCCTACCTCCAGGCTGACATTCTGAAGTCCACAGGTAATCAGCCGAACCAAAGTCAGGCAGCTACTAGGAGTGGAGAGGGGCAGTTAGGCAGCCTTCGTGATAATAGGTATGGGAGGGAGGGAGGCAGTTACTAAATGTTCATCTTGCTATGCCAACGTGGGACAGATTTGAATCTTCCATTTCCTAGACCTGATTTTGCCCAAAATCAGTGTGAGTGTGTATGAGGGAAGCTGAACTGGTCCTTCATAAAGATTCTCTAACAGATGAATTTGAGACAGTGACCCCAGACATCTTTTGATGTGAATATCCTTTCTCTTCTATAATGCAGAGTGGGAAACTGACCCTTGGCATTTTGGCAAAGGTTATATAATTTTTTAACAAAAGCAGGAATCCTTCTGTCCCCTGCCTCCTGAAAGTTTCAGTGGTACAGGACACGAGTGCTGAGGGCTTCTATGACATTGGATCTTGTTTGCAGATAGCAACTTCGGCCACAGCGGACTCGTGAAGGAAAACCTGATGGACTTCTTTGTCCCCTTCTTGCCACTTGAGTACCATCATGTCAAACTGTGTGCTCGAGATGCTTTCCTGGGCCGGGACCTTGAGTATACTGAAGAGGCACTGGACAAAGTTGCCAAGATGATGGTGTATGTACCCAAGGAAGAGAAACTCTTCTCTGCTCAAGGCTGTAAGTCCATCTCCCAGAGAATCAACCTCTTCCTGCCTTGAGGGCCATGTGAGAAGATTGCATGAAAGCAGAGGAAGCCTGTTCTTTACCTCTCCACTGACCAAAGGGCCTCCCAGAACATCACTTGACATCCAGACTCTTACAGGAATATCAACTATGGAACCCTTTTACCTTGGGGCTTTGTAGGGCAGGAAGAAAAGCCTGAGCTCTAGCAATTGGGTATCTGAAGAAGGGCTACTTCCCAGTCCTTAAAATTATTTTGGTGCCTTTTAGTGGAGCCTTCCATGGGGTGGACAGTGGCTGCTGGACAGTGGAAGGGGCAGGTTTGTACACAAATAAGGACAATGTGTAAAGTGAGAAGTTGAGTTGTTTAAAGTGAAAGTGAATCCTAGTTGTACAGCTCTTAAAGAAGCCCAGAACTAAGAAGAAAATGAGGTTTAACTTAAACTTAAATAGGGGTTAAGAGCCTCTCTACTTCCAAGTTGTGTCACTGGAACATCCCAGATATAACCAGTGGGAATTCAGGAACAGAAAGTGAGACAGAGTTTTAGCCAGTGCCGGCAAGGTTTAACTGCCAGGGGAACGTTAGTGCAACTTTTCTGTTGCTTCAGATTTTTAAAGAGAATTAACTTTTTTTTTTAAGTTGGGGGAAGGAAGAGGAAGAGAGAATTTATGTTAGATGTGTAAAGATTAAAAATTTATATTTTCCTAAAATCTTTTGTGTGATTTCTTGCAAAGCTGAAATTTGAGGCCACGCTAGAGGGAGGCCAGTCAGCACACACTGAGTGGGTTCTGATAGTCCAATTCAAAGATAGATTGTTTTGGGAGGGAGCAAGCATGAGTCTGGAAAAAAAAAAAGACAATTAGGAATCCTACCCTCAATCTGCTGGCCAAAAATGTTAGCCACATTTTTTGATTCTAGACTGTCACATTGAGTTACATGAACCTAAAGATGAGAATTCTTCAGGAAAACCAAGACCCTAGTGTAGATGACCTGTGGGGCTGAGGCTCAAAAGGCTATTCTGGACCATACCCCATTTCTACCATGTCCAATTCTGCCATGAAGCTAACGGTGGGACTGGATCCTTGGCTACCTGAAGCTTCTTCTGGGAAGCCTGCTTCTTTCCCCAGAAACCACTACCAGCTTTGACTTGTAGCTAACACTTAAAAACAGACAAATGTCCTTTACAGAGAGATCTCATTTGTTCCTGCAACAAGGTAGGGATAAGATGAATTCCATCTTACAAATAAGGAAACGAGCTCAGACAGCTTAAGTGATATGCACATGGTCATACTAGTTAAAGTCAGAAAGAAGATTTGAACCCAGGACTCTCCTGACTCAATCTACTACATCATACTGCCTTTGAAAAAAAAAAAAAGGGGGGGTGAGACCACTAGATATGAAATCTGAGAACCTGGGATCAAATTCAGGCTTTATACCTGTGTAACTGTGGATATATCCAGTACTATTAATATCTTGCCATCATGTGCCTCCCCCTCCCAACTTTTCACCTCTTATTCAGAGAACAGTAAACAGCACTACTATTACTTCTGGAGAGTGCATGACAAGTGATTCCTCTCTAGCTCCATCACTGTTCGCAGGTTCTTTGGACCAAAACCCCCTTTCCCCACCCCCACTCCCCTAATCTGTGTTGCTTCCATTAGAATATAAACTCCTTGGAGGCAGGAATTGTCTCATTTTGGTATTTCTAACCCTAGCACCAAACACTATGCCTAGTACATAACAGATGCTCAATAAATGCTTTTTTATTCATTCAAGTCACTTAACTCTACAGCTCTCAGTTTCCTTATCTGTAAAATAAGCCATATGTACTAGATAAATATCCATAGGACCTGCTGATCTCTATATAACAAAATGATATACTTAACTCTTATGCAGGAGGAGGAAAGATCACAAGAGGCGTAGCTCTTTGGATGTGCCTAAAAACGAGGTGAAGTGGCCCAAACCAAAACTGGGTGAAGATCAAAGTTAATGCTGTTAATGTTAGGCATACAACAGTAAGAAAGTGCTATGTGCAGGCAAGATAGCTAGCAATTTTCTTTGGCTTACGTCTGGGTTTTGGAAGCTCACCTTTCAATTCATTTAAGGTATCTAGCTAGAGGTTAAACCAGATACAATCGTGTGTATACAGTAGACTCACAGAGTCAGGGTTACTCTACCCTCAAAATGACTTGAGATCAGTCACATCAGATCACACCACACATCTGTGCCATCATACAATGCATTTCTTAAGTCCTTGCTTTTTGTAATTACCAAGTCACAGCCATTTTGAGGCCCATTACCCACCCCCCCACACACAAAATTAGTCTTGTTAAAGTTACGCCTCAATTTACTTGGCTTGATGACCTCATTGTATTGATCAGATTTGTGTCCTTATGACTTCTTTCAGAAAAAAATAAGATCTACCCTCAAAGGACAAATAATTGCCAACACGAAGACATGCACAGAAATATGTGAAATGTTGGGAAGAAAAAAAGTCAATACTTTATAGTTACACCTTGATTGACCCCTTCGTCCTGTTTGTATGCTTACCAGTTTCCATGGAAACACAGCACACAAAACATTTTGCCAATAAAATATTGCAACCTTTATTTAAAACAAAATGCAAATTGGCAAAACCTTGTGGAACAACAGGCAGAAAGAAGACCCAGTCCAAGGGCCTCGTTTATTTACATCAAGTTTAACACTGTTAGCAGTTCACAGTCAGACAACAGAATGAGAGAATTAAATTAGAAAAACAAAATATATTACAATAACAGTTAAAAAACAAACAATTGACAACACTGGTAGTGTAATCTGTGATTAACGTGTTTTCAGTTTAATCCAATATTTTCTCCATTGTATTCACTAGCAATACAAACTGTGCTGAAATGATCTGAATCATTGCTCTTTGTGCACAACACATACAGCTGGGAAGTGTGACCTTTGGTATAAATATTTCATTTTATAAACTGAAAAAAAAAGTGTTTCATTATATAGAACCCCCCACTCCCCAGGGGATGCACTACCTCATTTTTATCCAGTGGGCATCAGTTAAGACAGGGCTTTTCTCCAATGTCAACCAAGGGAAAAGAATCAGGCTGAAGAAGGAGAGAAAGTATAGGATCCACAACAGGGAGACAGGAGGTTTCTGACCATGCTTTAAGCATCTGGCTGGGTGGCTCATGGCAAATACTGCAGAATGGCATCTGCTCTGATTGTATTCACAAAAGAGAAACTGGTTTGTTAGCTGCCTGAACTCTGATCCTTCCTGTCTCTTAGTTCCCTCCTTTGCACAACACAGGAGATACAGTAAAATCTTATGACGTTGTTTCCCTACCTTCTTCACAAGTACAGGAATGGCAAACACATACACCAGCCCCTAGAAGATGTGAGACAAGGGTCTCGGTAGATGCTTCTTTAATAATAGAACCATCATTTAAAAATCAATGCTTATGCTTCCCACGCCTTGTTCCAGCTGAAAAATCCCTACTTCTCAAGGTAATCCTTACAGCCTATTAGCTCCTTTTTTGGAGTACTGACCAACAGATCGTGATGACCCAACAGGACACTGTAAAAACTTGTTTATCCAGCATTCTATTAACCAGAAAAGTATTGACTGCTACTTAGGTGCGTCTACAGTACAATGATAAGTAGTGTTTACAATGATGACCTTGAGGCACTGCTATCTATGATTCAAGGACAAGTACCTGAAGTGCCTTCTGAATCATCAGTTAAATTATTTTCAGTGTAGTCTGTTATCTGTTTGATTTTGATACTTCTGAGAATTCTAATATGTATTAGAAATATAGACACTATGACCAGAATACCCAATCACACCAGATACCAGAGTTTACTTTATTTACATGGTTTATGTGTGTCTCGCTGAAGGATCAAGTACAAAGGAGAATTGAGCAGATTTATAGAATTTACAGAACAGTACCTTACTCTTTTTAAAAAGTCAGACAGCTCTTAGAAGCTTACTTCTTTTGCTCTTCCTTAAAGAATGAACTATTTAAAAATCAGTGAACTCAGAGACCTCAACATCTGTGTGGCACAGCTTAATTTCCTACACTGACTTTTATAGGATAATTTTTGGAATGAAACAAGCATGGAGTGTGCATTAATATACACCAGTGAAAGATAAGGGAGTCTTTCCTAGACAGGGCACATAACATGATAATCCAAAGCCAGGGGTGTCCAAGAAAACACCTGAACAAGCTCCTGTAGGACTCAAAACAGGATTGTGCTCTTACGGGTTTTGAAAACTATCTGTGATACATCAGTCCCTTTTGGCCTAATTAACTGGGACCTTATCACTATCGTGGAGTTTCTAAGCGTGGGAGTGGTCTTTCTTTTAAGTACATGCATCAGATAGGAAAGGCTTTTAACAACAGTCAAATACACAAATGAATATAGGTGTAAAGAAAGCACTGCACTGATAAGGGAATGCAGGGATGAGCTGTAACACACTCTTCTGCCCCAGACAACAAATCAGTGTGAAGAGAACACACTTGTAACGTGAAGAGCTCTATTTCATAGGCTCAACAATAGTGCAAAAATTAAGTTGGCAGCCAGAATTTTTCCTATGAGATCCAATACAACAGAATGTCCATTCTCATGGACTTGGTTTTATGGACCAACCTAACTTTATTCTATGTTGATGTGGCCTTCCTCTTTTTTGGAGGGGCATAAGATCTATTCTTCCCCCTCACACCTTACAATTACACGTTGGGACCTTTATAAGCTATCTTTCATTTGCACCCAAGAAAAACACCTTGGGAATAGACTATGTTGTGAAACAAATGTCATACTGGCACATCAGTCTGGTGGAGTACACGATACTTTTGAGTGTTACATAGCACAGGAGGCATCAAAGCCTGTTGGCTCTGTCAGGGAAATCTCCTCCTGCCCTCGGATTCATTAATAGTACTTTCCTAAACTACCCTGGATTAGGGGAACCTTTGCTGGAGGTTCTGAGGAGGAGGAACAGACTAGGGTTGACTTCTCCTACTATTACAACTCTCCAGGTGTTCCCACCCAGGAAGAGAGCATCCAAGGAAGGGAAGAGTTGAGGTGATTTGTGCCCCCACAGAACAGGACCAGCAGCTAGGGCTGCCTCATTACAATGTCGAAGTGAACTGAAAGCCCTGCATTGTTTTATGTTGGCGCATTTAAAAACCGGTATAAAGTGAGCCCCAGATAACGCCAAGTGGAAAAGAGTTCAGACCTAGACCACACCTCCTTTTTGACTAATGAGGTCCTGCCCACTTAGGCTGGAACTTTACAACCAGTACTAATACCAGTTAGTACAGAATGGTTCTCAGAAGGTTCTCTTCTCAAGAAATTTCTACTTCTCCTTTTATTTTCAAATGGAAACAAGCATTTTCAATGGTATCCTAATCTTCCAATGGGCTAGGCATTTCATATGGTTATAACAGTTTGTAACCAGCTCAGATGTAATCATAGAAATTGTTAGGAAGCATGTGCAGCTGGTTAAAAAACCCAACATTTACTAAAGGAAACCTAAATCTGTACTTCCAAAAGGGGGGAAAGATGCTATGATGTGTGAAAGGCCAGCTTCTGCCACGGTACTGTATCTTTTACCTTTTTGCCATCCTTATTCAGAAGTCTAGTAAAGTCTAAATCTGAATGTAACAAAGGGATATGTAGTGACAAAATGGCAAAAGCATAATAATAATAATAATCCAAAGAAGAGACAGCCTTGTAAACTCATTCTGAGCCAGCTCCATAATTAGTTACTTGGAGGCACACTAATGAGTTAATAAAAATGGGAGACAGAAGCCTTTAGGTTCTTAACTGCAGATTTCAGGATGTAGGATTATGACTCAAAATTACAGCCACTAGAATTTACTCTTAGGTGTTTTAGGATCAAAGAAGCAAAGAACTGTGCTCAACTACGCTAAAAAATGACAGCTGATAAATGGCAAATGTATAAACCGTACAGAATACTGGGAAGAAACTCCTCAAGAAGCATTTCTCAACAGCTTGTTGAGTGATGACTTGTACTCCCCCTCCCCCAAATAAAGAGAAGGACCATCCTCAGAAACAAAAATTACACAGGGCACAGTCTCAAAGGGACTCGCATCAAATTTTTTATTACCACACTTAGATTACTGAGCATCCTCAGTTTGTGTAGGAGGGCTGTTCAAGAGTGACAGGACCTCATTTCATCAAAACAAGGCCCAGAGAAGAGTTTCTCTATTCAGCAATAGGAAAATATGAACTGCTGCTTTCTGAATTGCTGTAACGCTAACAGAAAAGTCAGCCCCAAGCTTTTCAAATTTGGATAGCCTTAGCTTATAGCTGGAGTTAAGGCCAATCTCGTTCTGCACATATTCACTGATGTTCCAAATTTATTCAATTCATTAGGGAAGTGATTGTTTCCAATCTGTACTTCTCCAAATAAGGATATTTTCCAGGTTCCCGCCTTCTCCCCTCACCCCAAAAGAGAGCACAACTTGACTATAAACTTGAAAATTATTAGTTGCTAACAATGCCTGAGCTCTGTTGGGTGTGGGTAAGGGAGTAAGGGGGAAGCACCCTTGCATGACTTTTGAACCTGAATATTTAAAATTAGTAAGCTTTTTTTTTGTTTTTAAGATTTAGGGCAATAACTTTAAACAATGTGACTATTTAAGCATTTGAATCCTATTTAGTCACTGAGAACTCCCAATAAAATGGACTTTGGTAGTGTTTTCTAATATTACTGTAGACCTCATGGACTGTCTACTTGAATAACCTTTCTTGCATAGTATAATGGAAAGAGCACTCGAGTTGGGGTCAGGAGGTAGGGGGTCATGTCCTGACTCAGCCACTTAACTGTGCAACCAGGGGCAAGTTCGTTAATCTCCCAGAACCTCAGCTTCCACATCTGTAAAAGGGGGGTCACAACTTGCTCTAGTTACCTCACAGAGTTATGAGGAAAAGTGCTATACAAACCTTAAAGCGCTATATAAATGGGAGTTATTATTGCAAAATTTTATGTAAGGCATCCTAGTGTGTGGGGGCGAAAAAAGCAATGGATGAGACATCAGAAGACCTGGGTCTTAGACCTAGATATGCCACTAACTCACTGTATGATCATGAGACAGTAACTAAGCTGTGTGTCTCATCTGAAAAATGAGACGGGTTGGACAAGATGATCTCTAAGAACTCTAAGAGCCTATGATTAACTAAAACACATATGGAATGTGCTTTACCAAAAGGCAGAATGTTCCCTAAAGTGAAAAGAATTAAGTGTGAATCTGATTACAATATTGGTATAAATGTCATACCCCAAAAAGTAAAATAAGTAAAAGCAAAATATGTAAGTATACATTGTAATAATTATTTAAAATTGCCATACTAAAAATCACCAACCTATCTGGGAGAAACTTATTTTGTTTTTTTTCCCCTAAAAGCAAATAAGATTTTGCCACACAAAAATGTGAGACAATTTAGAATGGCAAATAACCATGGGAAGTGGGCCTTTTTTAAGTGTGGCGGACTACCACAGATGGTCACTCTTCTTCTCTCCTCCCTGACAGCCTCCTTCTTTGATTCTATTCTTAAGTCAACCCCTAAGCCAGCTGCAAAGCTGGAATGACTCCCTTTCCTGCTACTTTTCTATTCTCTAATATTAAGCTCCATGGAGCCAGGGGCTTGGGACAAAAAGCAATCTCTTTGGTTAAGACACACTGAGACAGTCCTCTTCCATCATCTACCCTGACTAGTCCTTTCTGGCCCTGCGTATGAAAGGAAAGGGAGGGAGAGCAGCTAGACTTTGTAGTAAGACATATCTCAAGAGATTCAGGGCAGGGTTGCATGGTAAGGGAGTAATATCAGTTGCTCTTATGCTGTAGATAGGTACAGCTGGCATGAACCCCTATTGATGTGTGTTTAAGCCGATGGAGAAGCTGTTGCTATAGATTGTTCTGGAAGACCAATGAAACTTAAGCTGTCCATGGCACTAAGAGCCTAATTATAGCTCACATATAGGTTTTATATATGCCATAATTTTTCTCCCCAAGAGTTGGAGGGTACAAAGAAAAGAGTGGCCTATATTTGGACCAATATCCAAAGTTTTTTTTTTCTTCCCATAAGCACATATCTCTGAAAATTATAATGGAAGTTAGTGGGAAAATAGAATGCAGTAAACAAGTTTTAATTTTACCTTTAATGAAGATATCTATTGTATAAAGTGAGGCAAACTGTAGTGGACAGATCAATGTTGCTTCTGATGGGAAATACAATTTGAGAATCATATAACAGGAATCCATAACATCCATTATCATGTGTAAGCCTATACATAACTGAACTCAAGCAGTGGCAGCTTATATGACTAATTAAAAACAAAACATAACTGACCCTTCAAGAAACAATTTCAGTGCCATTTATTAGTTGTGTTTTTTCCCCTTGCCTTTTCCTTAGACTAGATGAAGAAATCAAACTATAGTTTTAGTCAGTGGCTCTTAGAGCTCTCCAGGAACAGTCTTCTGTGGTTCTGAATCCAAAATTACTTGCTTTGGGAAAAAAACAAAAAACACTAAAAAAACTAAGTTCTATTTGTAGAACAAATTAACAGTGTCTGACTAGAGCGCAAAACTGACTAGAGTCCTGAAACTGCATGACTGAGGTCCCCAAGAGTCCCCCTGGAAGGAAGGTGGACAGGCTGGCCCATGCTGCCAAGGTCATTGCTAGTCTAGGCAATGTCTAATCAATGCATGACTAGCCATCAGTGGAAAATCCAGGACTCCTAAAGAAAGCAGTGCATCTTTCTCCAAGTCTTTTCAGCACTTTCATGGAAGAAGATCCTGCTAAAGAAGAACATTCTTTAAAGGAACAACTGCACTTCCCTAACTTCACACTCTTGTTCTGGGGAAAACTTGAAAAGTGGCATAATCACTTCCCAAATTTTATTTTCTCATCCTAAAACAAACAAACAAGAAAACCCTGATGGTCTTGGTTAAAATTTACCGACAGGAGCAAAGGGAGACCTTCATAACTAGTATCACTTCAGTACTCCCAAGCACAATCATGGGCTTGTTTTTAAACTCCCAGGGGAAGGGCATTAGCAAGTAGTATTATGTACTGGAGTGCATAACAGACCAGAGTTGACCTTGCCCTATGTACCATAGGTCATCCCTGATCAAGGATGACGACAGAGTTTGGTAAGGAAGAAATGAAACACCTCCAGTGTTAGGAAAAAGCTTAATTCAGAAACCAAACTTTTTTTTTTTTGGTGAGGTAATTGGGGTTAAGTGATGGGAACCAAACATTTCTGCCTCCTTTTCCTAAAGGAACAATGCAACCTTCATGGGATTTGTTCTTTACCATATTTGATGTAAGGTGTGGACCCCAAGGAGGAAAAAGTTAAATTAACTTGGCTGCATACTGCATGTACTATACTGGCAGGCACTGTGAAGAAAGACATTATAGAAATATCTGAAAGAAAAAATAGGATGCTTTTTTTTTCCTCTCAAGTTTCCTTTATACCTTGCCTCTTTCTGATGATGATTAAATAACCCAGTCTGCTTTCCTTCTAATTAAAAACATCACTGTCTTTCCCTGGTCAAAGATCTAAACATCCAGCCAAAACACTGGGGCCCCTTACAGCTCTAGCATTATTCACAGGGCTCAGTACAGTTCTAAATTTCATTAACAGTTGGCATTGAAGCATGAAAAGAAAGAAAAACCATCCAAGAAAGCACTGCGCACTTAACAGAGAAGTTCAAGGGATAGCTACACAATTCTAATAATCCCCTAAAAAACAAGTATTACCTTCAATTAAAAGATGAAAAAATAAGCCTGGGACAGCTAATTAGTGATGGAAAGAAAACTCAGTATTGAACATTTGCCTCCAATCTTATAAAGCTAAGGTGATGGTCCACTGGAGGGAAAAAAGTTGCAAAATGGGTGTTCTGTTCCTAACGGAATTCCAATAGATTTGGATAGAGCAGGTAGCAGAAAGGTCTTCTGTTTACAGAATTAATAACACTTCACCCCTCTGATTCATATCTGTTGAATCCTAATAAGCTTCCCTACTTAGATCTGACATGAAAAGGAAAATGCAATCTTCTTTTCTAGAGCAGAATTCTAAGTTCTAATTCCAACCAAAATTCCCTGGGTCTAAATAATATTTTCCTGCAAAGAACTGTTCCCTGAAGTGGGCTAAGATGCCATGGTAAGACAAACATTTTCAATCTAATTCTTACAAACAAATAGCTCCATCAATCAGGACAAACAGAGAGGCAGATGCTATAGCAGCACACGTGAGAACTGGCTCTGGTGATGTTGATTGGATCCCCGAGGGGCTTATCAATCTAGAAGGTCCCAAGAAAGTGAAAGCTCATGGATGGGAAGGCGTCCTCCACTCACCAAGGCTGGCACGCTGGCCCTGACAGGCAGTGACGGTTGAGTCCCCTATGAAAGACAATCTAGTGGAGAGTTGGGGGAAAAATCAGACCCCAACAGTGATTTCCAAAATTATCTGATTTTCTAGATAAGCTTTAGAGAGGGAGCTACAAACCCCATGCATGGGCCTGACAGTTTAAAGCCCTTTGTAAAACTTTGAAGAACTAAATGAACTTTAGCTATTATTACTATAGCAAGCTTTTAGGAAAATGTGTCCAACTCCTGAACATATTCCCTCCCCAACAGTACATTAGGAAGTTGAAGAATCTAAAAAACATCTCAGGTACCCTATCCACCTGAGCCAAAAATGTGTGTGTGTGTGTGTGTGTGTGTGCGCGCGCGCGCATGTGTATGTATGTATGTGAACATCATGGTGATACTTGTAGCAAAGAAAAGGAGTCCTGTGGAAGCTTGCAGCCTGACAACTGACACACGCCCAGGTATTGTGTTAATTAATATTCCGAATGCTCATAAAGAACATAGAGGGCATCTTGCCCAGCAAGGGCCTGGAGGAAACCACTGTCTGTTAAAATTACGCCCACAGCTTGCTGACACTGACCGGAGGGTGGCAGCTCTGAAGCATTAGTGAATGCCAGCTAGTGCCTGGGCTAGACAAAGGGAACCCGGCTAGACTTGCCAGCACAGCTCACTCAGAAACAACAGAAACATGACGGAGTGATAAGATGGAGGGCACAGAGAGGGCAGAGGTTCTAAAACTGTTTTGCAGTTGTGAGACAGCAGCAATGACACTGTGGAGGCGACGCTAGCAGCCACTCTCAGGGCATCTCCCTCTTTTCCTGACCCAATCAGCGTCACCTTAGGGTCAGTGCCAGAGTGATCACCACTACATGTCCAAAGAGACCGAGGTGCCTCCCCCTACAACTCGTAGAGGATAAAACCCTTTGTCCAGTGCAGAGAGTGTGAACCTCACAGCCACTCCAGTGTTGAGGGCCTTCAGAGGAACTTCCCAGCCCCCTTACTGAGATGAGACCCGTCCCTGCCCAGGATGAACAAGCTCCCCCCCCCACCAGGAGAAGCGGGTCTGACTTCTCTCTCTGGTGCAGCACACATATATTACCTGATTTTCCAATGAGGGTAATTCTCAACAGGCCACCTCTCCAGCTTCTAAACCCTGCCTATCATCACCACCTCACCTTCTTCCCCTCCCCTGCACTTTGTGTATGTTTGTAACTTCTGAGATGAACCTGTAAACGTGAAAACTCAGTGATCTGAGGTACTTCACATGAACTCACTCAAGTATCAGTCTTTCATTTTTTGAAAGCAAGAACACAGGAAAAAACAAGTCCCTTTCCCCCTCCCGATCAACAGAAAGTGTTTCTTCCAGCCAGGTTGGCAGTAGCTACCTCTGAACCACATCGCTGATTTCTTGGACGCATGACAATAAGTTATTAAGGACAGGATTTGTTCCGGGCAGGCTAGCCGCTGCTGAGGACACCTGCAGCTCCTGCAGGCTGAGTTCCAGTTTGCTCACAGCTTCCCGGAAAGCAAACTTGTTGCGAGTCTGTGGGATGCAGTCTACGTAGCCTGAGCAATAATCCAGCAGCTGGTGTCCAGTGTCTACCAACTGGCTGTTGGGCATGGGTTCCGTAATGGCACTGGACAGCAGGTCAGCACATTCTAGCAGGGCTTCTTTGCTGATTTTGTCCGCTGAGATTTTTTCAGCAGCCTGCTTGGTCTTTCTCAGTGCCACTTTGGTGCCTGCAGTGCCATTGGCCATTTTTGCAGGTGACGTGGAACACGTGGATGGAGGCACTTGAGGGGGAGGCATCACCGGCCTCCCAGCTTTTGCACTGACAGGTGCTGTTACTGCCGCTGCCTTTTTTCCACCTTCATGCACTTCTGGTCCAGGCTGCCCTCCAACAGGGGTGTTCTGCTCTTCTGTGAGGTCTGGGCATGTGGGTGGGTGCTGTAAAAGCCTCATCACTGGGGGTGGAGGTGGAGCACACTTTGGTTTTACCCGTCGTGGTCGGTCCTTATCTGCAGAAGACGGGACCTGATGCTCAGATAGGAGCTTGAATTTATTCCCCTGAGAGTCTGTGCCAATGAGCTGGACATCAGCTGGAGCATGCTTCAGAGTGGGTGAAATGAGAACCGGCACTTTGTGGTTGTGAGCGGTTGGAAGTACTGGAGCAGCCTTGGCTGGAGATGACCACCCTGGCCTTTCTCCATCCTCTGGGAGTCCTGCCATCCCGAGCCGGGCTGCACCATTCTTCTCTTTGCTCTTAGGGACAGCGGTGGCCCCTGACCCTGCTGAGTCCTTATCTAGAACAGCTGCGTCCCCTGACGGGGTTCGGAGAGGAAGAGCTGTGGTGCCTCTGGGTAAAAGTTTGGCTTTTGGTCTGTCCCTGGACAGGGCAGGGCCTTCTTCTAACTTTTTGGGAATCAGGTCACTTGACCTACCCGTGCTCTCCTCTGGCTGAGAGGAGGTGGACACTGTCCTTTCCAGTTGGATTTTGGACCTCTGGCAGTTCCTGGGAAGGGTCATTGACATCCTATCCTGCTCTGGAAGCCCTGAGGACATGGAAGATGTAGAGTTTGACCTTGGAAAAGGCTTGGAAGCTTCGTCACCAGCAGCGGGTTTACCTGCTCGTAAGCCCAATGTCTTTTTGATTAAGCGTGGTGTAAAGAAGCCAGTGATGCCTGACCACCCACCACCAGTGGCTCCACTCCCTCCTCCTCCTCCTCCACCACCACCAGGACCGCCATCACTACTGCCACCATCACCACCGCCATCCTCACCACAAAAGTTCCTCTGGGCAAAGCTCCCCCCAGAGCACTTAGGGGGAACCAGATTCACCTCTTGTTGGGCAGGAGGAAAAGAAAACCCATCAGGGTGCTGCAGGGAAGCAACAGACGAGAAGTTACCCGTGAGCTCGTATTTCTTGTGAGGCTGATTTTCCATTTCACGAAAGGAGCTGCTGCGTTTGGGAGGTGCTGGAGCATTTCTCTTCTTCATGAAGGAGCTGAAGAAGCCTCCCTTTCTGTCCCTAGTAAAAGTTGTCTCTTTGGCATCTTCCAAGAGGCTACTAGGTGACTTGTCTCTCTGTTTGCGAGGCAGTGCTGGGGACCCACTAGGAGGCTGTGTGCTCCTAATAAACCCTGAAGAAAATGGTCAGACAACAATAAGCAAAAGCTCAATCTATAAGCACAGTCAATGAGATGACAACACAAAGATGTTACTGTCTGCTCCAGGGGCAGCACCTGCATAGCATCTGTGGAATGAAGGCTGTCAAAGCAGTATATCTGAATTGCCAGCAATGTGAAGGGTGAGAGGGCTCATAAATACGTGGGGGTGGGGAGGGGGTGGAGAGAGGAAGGGCTACTTCTCTAATAACATCAATCTCTCACACACAGCCTGAAAAACCACAACTGAATTTGGCATCGCTGGTTGGACCTGATGTAACTCTTTTCCCAGAATTACCAAGGCATTTATTATCTGAGATCAGAATAATGTGGTTAGGTAGACCAAGCTGGAGACGGCTCCTCGTGCAGGGTCAGGACCAAGGATCACCTAAGGCCGTGAGCAAAACTGTCACCATTCGTGCCCAGTGGAGACCCCAGCAACCCAGGGACATAAAGGAAAGTCCCCTGCCCCACCGCTTCTCAGTCTCTTCCGGGCTCGGTCTGCATCCCTCTCATACCTGGTGCTGAGCTGGAGGCAGAGGGCTCTGCAGAGTCCTGGCTCCCGTCTATGTTCTCCTTGTTCTCTGCCTGCTTCTTCAGGGTCCTGGTCTTGGAAGGAAGTAAGGGTAATCGAGGCAGGTATGGTACGATGGATGAAGAGGAAGCTGTTCTCCCAAGCTCCTCAGCTACCTCTGTGAGAAGACACATGGGTAGAGGAAAGGCCAAGATGAACAATGTTCTAAGCTTGGGAAGGGAAAATTGTTTTAGAGAAGGCAACAAATTGAGGAAGTACTGTAGGGAAGTACCTCCCAAAACATGACTAGTGAATAACTATCCCAAATCAAGTAGGCTGAGTTACAATGAAGAATGATGACTCAATACACTTTTTAAATTGTCAAGAACATGAAGGGAAGAGGGAAGGAAACAGAAAGTGGGGCAGAGAAATGAAGAAGGGGTGAAGGGGAGGCAAGGACAGAAATTGATTGAAACTGAAAATCTGAGGCAGTTAAGAGATGAACAGGTGGTAAATTCTTGGCTCCTACATTTGTGGCCTCTTCTCTTGTACCAGCAGTGGAGCTCAGAGAACACTCAAACTGGTTTGTGACCTTTTCCACTTAATTACTCAAAGGTAATTCACTTAGATCACAGCACACAGCCACCCCCACAAACCAACTTTTTAGGCTACACCTGCATACTAAAAAGAGATGGATACAATCTGTTCCATTATGTAAATGAAATAAATTAGGCTCTTAGAAAAATCTTGCCCCCTCAGTTAGTCAGCCCCACAGCTGATCTATTAATAGAAAAATGCAGTTTAGCAATAAGATAAAACTTTGCTTTCATTGGATAGTCAAAAGCACTGAAGCAGCATCATTTGGACAACAGAGTACAGTTAGGAAGAGTTTAACAAACTGAAATTTTGGAATTATTTTTATGATTTATACATTTTTAAATGCTTATCACATTTGAAAATACCTTAGAAAATTTGCTTCAGACAAGTTTTTACTGGTATTTTTTACAGCACCTAAATTTCCCCTTGTATCCTTCTCCCTTCCCACTCTCAAAAAGCCATCCTATTTAATAAATAATTTTTTGAAAGAAAAAGAGAAAGAGAAAAAAAAATCTGAAGATATATGCAATGTTCTTCATCTGTGGATTTCTCACTTCTGTGTAGAAGTCAGGGTTCTGACAAGGGTATCTTCCCATATCTCTTCTTGGGACAGTGCCTGTGCTTTGTAATCTGGCAACACTTTTTTTTTTTAATCATTTTGTGGTTACTCTTTCTACTGACATGGTCATAATCATTGTGTTGATTATTTTCTTGGCTCTGCTGACTTCACTCTTCATCATTCTCAGTCACATGTTCATCATCATCATCATCAGTGAAATGGCATCACATTCATATTCTGCAATGTGTTTATCTCTTCCCCAATAAGTGGACATCTACTTTATTTGCAATTTGCTGCCACAAAAAGTGCTGCAGTAAGTATTTTTGTATACACAGGGACTTTTAAAAAAGGAATAACCTTCTTGGGGCACATGCTTCATAGCAGAATCTTTGGGTGGTCAAAGTACATGGACATTTTAGTAACCGGTGCATCAGATGAGTTTTTTAAAAAAAGTATTTGTTACTAGCAATGGGAAGGTAGGAAAACCCAACAAAGAAAGAATATGGTAACTCACAGAGATTAACAAAATCTTTCGTAAGTATATTTTAATACTTCCAATTATTTCAACGATATAAATAGTCTCTCCATTACTGCAAAGTATAACCCTTTTATACCTAAAAGGCATAAAGCAGCTGGCTGGTGGCAGAGTGGATAGAGTATCAGGCCCAGAATCAGGAAGACTCGGGTTTACATCTGATCTTAGACACTTACTAGCTGTGTGACCCTTGGCAAATCACTTCACCTCTGTCTGCCTCAGTTTCCTCATCTAAAAATGGTACCTACCTCCCAGAGTTGCTGAGGATAAAATAATATTTGTAAATCACTAAATAAGTCCTAGCTACTATAATAATAATGATACTTAGGCAGATAGTTTTCATTAGTTACTATAATAAAAACATCTGATATTTGGTGGCCAAATCTATGGTGACAGGCTGTCTGAATTTAGCAAGACTGGGCCTCAGAAAACACACACAATCTGTGGCTTGACTTATACTCGAAGCTTTTGTGGTCTGGAAGGACTTGCCAATCTGGTGTCAATTATCTACATGCTATGTTCATTGGAAGAGGACTTAAATGAAGATTCCAATGTATTAGGCTGAAGTGAATTTTACAAATGTTACTTTTTGAGATAAACACACAAACTTTAGAACTAGCAGTTTAAAAATTAATTTGCTTTTTGAAAACAAGGAATTCTTGATTCTGAAAGTTTTTATCTGATAGGGAGATAATGGTCTTCGTAGCTATAAGAAAAATGATTAAGTTGAATAAAGTCATGTCAAAGGGAAAAACTTTCTAAAGAAGTTAAAAGTATTTACTGAAGATACATTATGAGTTAGAAGTTGCTTTATCCTACAATCTTACTTCTTTAGTTTATATTTTAAACCTGTTCCAGGCTCAAGAAGATCATGGTACTAAGCTTGACTACATAGGAAATGGAAGTACAAGAAAAGACAAGGTTGAGAAACACATTTAGCAATCAAGGCCCAAAGGACCAACTGTGCTACATTCAAATTCTAGTCATCTTCAGGAGTCTATAGAAGGAAGATCCTTTTCAGATGTTTCTGTTGATGGCACTTTCCTTCTTCTCATTTGAATTGCTTGTCTTTCATTCTTGAAGGGGACCATGACATCAGGGGGATGATGCCATGACATTCAAGTGAGTTGGATTTAAGTGAGGGAAGGCTGTGCGAGGTCACCAGCCTTATTTTTGCCTCTGAAGCCATCTGGATACAGTGGCAAGATATAGATCAGGATGACTGGAAATGGCCCCCTATCATGTGAATTATAATAAGGGAAATGGGCGAAATTCACTTTTGTTTTCATTATCTTCTATTAGTTGCTTTTTGAAGATGTCTTCTGTTGTGTATACCAATGACTATAAGATTAATTAATAAAACGTTTTAAAAGCATGAACTAATAAGATCTTGGTTCCTTTATGAATTGCTTCTGCCTCTGGAGTAGTGGGTGATAGGAAGATTTGAAATGTATCCCTTTTTCTTCTTGTTCCTATGCCTTAAATGTTGCCAAGTAAGTGAATTATCAAACTGATTCTCTCAGGAAATTACCAAATTAATTTACCAGTAAAACTTTGATATTAAGGACCTAAGATACATAAAAGAATGCCCTTCTTCTCCCTAAACAAATAAAAACTATCAGCATTAATACAATGGAAAAAGTGGTATCTGAAGACTCCAAAGATCCACTTCTTCTCAAGTGTCATCTTCACCAGTGGGACCAGACTCCTCACCTTCAGATATGCTGGAGTCATGGAACATAGTTTCAAAAGCCTGATGTGTCTCAGCAAAAGATGGCCTGTCAGAAGGACTCCACTTCCAGCCTATATCATAAGAAATGGGGTAAAATGTTTAATATTTCCTGCAATGACAAAGAAATCAATGACATCAGGGGTTTTTAACCTGTTTTTGTATATCATGGACCCTTTTGACAACTTGGCAAAGCTTACTGATCCTTCTCAGAATAATTTAAAAAAATTAATGGAAGGAAATGCTAAATTTCAGTTAGAGGTTAGTGAAAATAAAGATGCATTTTTTCCACATCCAAGTTTACAGACCCTCCCCTTAAATCCATCTAGAGATCCCTGGGGGAAGCTGATTTCCCAGGTTAAGGACCCTGGAACTTGGGGTTTGAAGAACTAATGGCACATATACAAGATAAGAAAAACTTGGCTAGGTAAAACAGTTCATATGAAAATGGTCTGTGGGTTTTAGCAGACTGGAAATTTACTGAGTTGTCCTGACATGAAATACCTGAGAAATTATTATCATCTTAGGCTTCATTAAGAAAGGTAAAATATCCACAGTATAAAGGAATTAATAGTTTCATTATATTCTGCCCTGGTCTGGACACCACATTTTATAAAGGGTACTGACAAGCTGGTGTGTAGAAGACAGTAACTGAGATGGTGAGGGGAACCGGGATCAAGCCATATGAATGTCATCACTTCAAATTAAGGCTTAGGTAGACATGAAGGATGTTTCTAGGTATCTGAATGGCTGTCAGGTGAAAGAGGAATTAGGCCTGTTTTGGTTGGGCTCAGAGGGCAGAAGAGGGAACACATGTATAAGTTGGAGAAAGGCAGCTTAGGTTTGATATAAAGAAAAATGTCCTAGTAATTAGGTTTAAAAACAGAACTAGTTGCCCCTTACTGGCAGTCTTTAAGTGGAGACTAAATAATGTTATGGAATGAATTCCTGTAGATTCTCCCAACTCTAAAATTTTCTAATGATAAGACTCCTCCCCTCTGATAAACACTGAGCAAAAACATAGAGGCTGAACATTTATTGACATGGAAAACGTACGTGAAGGTGCTTACAAAGCAGGTCATAAACCTGATGACAGAAGGACCACTGGCCAGCTGAAACACTGGGGCTTCCATGTGCTAGGGCCTCACAAACGACAGGGTGTGGTTTCTTCCCTCAGGATTATAATCTAATGGCTTATTTCTTCTGGGGAAAATAGATATTCCAGGTATCTCAGTGATACGTTCACCTTTAGAACTAATCAGTTCTATTTCAATCTCTGGTTGAAATAGCTGGATCTCAGTTTAAGTAAGAAGGAACTCATACTAGACACCATTACTCAGTGAGGTAAAAACTTTATGACCTGTGTCTAACACAATCACAGCTTAATTCTTCATCACTAAACCCTCCCCCACCTCCTAGCCCTACCAGATACCCTTGTTATTCACAAAAGAAGTTGTATTCAAATACTCTCCAATGGCCAGATACACAGTCATGTGGCTGGTTGTTTAAAGAAGCTCTCCCTTACCTTTCATTTTGAAAGTCTAAAGAAAATTTTATCTTTTTGCTAAAGATGTCAACTTTCTTCAGATTAATTGGGTCACCTGGTATAAGGATAATTGTTCCCAGGGCTAAATGAGACTCAACAACATGTAATGTGATTTGTCAGTTGGCTGAGGAACAGCAAAGGCCTACCAAATAAATGCCACTAGACTCTGGATTAAGTGCAACCCAGAGATAAAATGTTTCAGATTCCTTCAATCATCTTGAGTTATTGATTTAATCTTTTAAAATAAAAACAGGCAAAAGAACTCACATGCTCTCATAAGTTCATAGACTTTTGGTGGACACCCTTCAGGCTGCTCCATTCGATATCCCTTCTCCAACAAATCATAGACCTGAGATAGGTCAATACCCGGATATGGTGACATCCCATAGGTTGCAATTTCCCATAACAGTACCCCAAAGGCTGTACGAGGAAATAAAAAACAAAAGAAGCAGATCTGCTTTTTTCCTGACATACTACTTTTTCTCATAAGTTATAACTTTACTGTCAGCTTTGGGGGACTGAGAGGAGGGGCATCATATGCTACTGTTAACCTCTCCTACTGCGATCTGGTCAACATAGTATTTGCTACTGTAACTACTGCACCTCTAGAAGCAAAAGAACTTTTCCCTTCAAACTTCCAGGCTGAATTTACATTTTTTTAAATTTTTGGCTGAGTTTTTGACTAAATTTTGACCCTGGGTTTTTCACTAAATAAACATCAGAGAGAAGATAAGCTATAATATAAAGGGGTGGGCCATCATCAAATTATTTTTGGACTGCTTCTTGATCTATTTCAATAGTTATAAGGCATTACTCTTCCTTTTAAGGCATCTAAAGAATGTTTTGCATTTTGAGAAATAGTCCTAGAAGTTTCAGTTAATTTTAAAATTGGACATGCATGGCAGACAAGATTCAAAATAGGGGGAGGAGTCTGATGGTATGCATCACAGGTATTCTTGAGCTTGGGATCAATATCCTACAGCTCTTGCTGCAGACAATTTATTCTACAACTTTTTAGGCTTCCTAAAAAGTCTATAAGGAGGGGGGAAAGTCTACAAGGTATAAAAAACTGAAGCACAGGGACTAAAAGTCAATTGGCCAAAGGCCAGACCTAGGATGAGAATTTACAATCGAGGTTTCAAGCTTTTTTTATGCCACTGAACCATACTGTTTCCTGAGGAGGCAAGAACTAAATAGGACCATTGCTGGGAGAAGGCACCTTTAAGCCCTTTCCTGAAAGACAGAAAAAATATCACATCAACAAGGCCCTAATGAAATAGTAAAGGGAAGCATAAAATAGTAAGGGGAAAAGTTTAGTTTTACAGAGGCTCTTTAGAATTCTGATATAATTACAGAGGATCTGGTGAGGAAAGGAAAATGAGCATCATCAAAAATCAAATGCTAGAGAAAGGAGTGGGTCGTTTACATAAAACAAGGAAATTATATATCTAGGCCAAAAGAAGTATCTTTCATTCTTACCCCAGACATCAGATTTAATTGAGAAAGTATTGTAGGCCAGGCTTTCTGGTGCTGTCCATTTGATAGGGAATTTTGCTCCAGCATGAGCAGTATAGGTGTCTCCAGTCATTAATCTACTTAAGCCAAAATCAGCAACTTGACCACATGATTCTCTCCCACTAAGCAATTCCGAGCTGCTAAATCTCTATAGAAGACAGAACGTGAACATAATTATATTCACAGTGAAGAAAAAAGTCTTTATTATTTCATTTAGGGTCTTCAAGAGTAACAACTTAGAGAAGATGCTGACAGCAATGGCATTCTTATGAAAAACTGTATGTGACAGAAAATCTTTCGTAACACTGAGAGACAAGTGATTATAGTCTTCGTTGGTTCCAGAATAAGGCTAAATCTCTAAGAATGATTTCCCTGGCAAGCACAAAATGTGTGTGTGGTGTGTGCATGTTCATTATTGGATATTATGTTAATATGTTACATGTTTATTACTGGAATGGAGTTAGTCAAGATGATCTGAAAGGTGCCTATGACACATCCCATCATTGCAAGAGGTAAGGCCAAACTGTTACATCATACCACCAGGGGGAGCAAACGGACTAAGTATGTAATCATACTCAGGGGGTCCTAGTTGGTACCAGGCCCTGGCTAATGAGTCAATTAGGGTCTGAGGTGTTTCATGGAGAGATTCTGCCAGGAGGCCCTTTGGGGAGACCCTGTGGTTGTCAGGCCTGTCTGTTCACTCACCGATGGATGAAATTTTTTTTCTCCAAGTATTCCATGGCTGAGGAGATCTGTGTGGCCATATAGAGCAGCACCACAGCGCTCACTTCTTCTCGGTTGCACTCCCTCAAGTAGTCAAGTAGGTTTCCATACGGCATGTATTCGGTCACTATGTAAAAAGGTGGCTCCAAGGTACACACCCCTGATAGGTCAGAAAAGGTCAAAGGCTGAGAACATTTTTAAAGAGGCTGTCCTGAGGGGTCTCACCTCCAAACCACCCAAATCATTCTGGTCAGTGAAGCAACATGTGAACCACCGGGCTACTTCTAAAACTCTATTCTCATGTGCCCTTTTCTCCTCTTCTCACAAGATACTCCTGACACTAACAGGACCAAAAAAAGGATCCTATTCATGAGGGAGCCCCTGGTCTCCTCTTTTGCCTCGTGGAAATTCACTGGTTTCATGGGGTTTACAGAAGACAGGGCAAAGGCATAGATGGGCAGAATGTGACTGGGATTCTTCACATCCTCAAAATAACAACAGCTGGCACCTCTACCGTGCTTTACGGTTTGAAAAGGACTTTATAGACATTATTTCTATAATAATCAAGTATGGTAGGTATGGAGGATAAACCAATTTGATCCATGTGTGATCCACGATCATACAGTGAGTGCTAGAAGGGGAATTAGAACCCAAGTCCATAAGACTCCAAGTCCAGGGCTTTCACACTCTTAGGCCACTGACCCTGCCCACCAACGACACACATGGTTTTTAACAGAACGATACCTAAAAGTGGCAGTGAGTATTGTACTATATACTGAATTACAGGCTGTGAGCTCATGTTTACCAAAAGGGCTTTAAGTGTTTCGGTATATTTGGATATTAATGACGAAACAGACATATTTCAGCCTCATCTGCCAAGTTTATGGTACACATTATTACGACTAATAGGACTAAACTATTTCTTGTGATATTTTGGCCTCTATTGAATACTCAAGTGAGTCGACAGCTCTCGATAACCTGGCCCCATCCCACTTCTCCAGCACACATTACTCTTTTCCATATACTCCACAGTTCAGACAAACTGATCTTGCTGTTCCTCACACAGACTATTCTATCTTTTTTCTGCGTAACTTTTGATTGGCTTTCCCCCTCCTTGTCTCTCCCACTTTTTAAAGACAACTCAACTGCCAAGACTTAGCTCAAGATCTTCTAAATGTGGCCTTTTCTGGTTCCTACAAGAGTATCTAGTACCTTTCTCCTTCAAAGTTAGGTTGGATTTGGCTCTGTACATTTTCTATGTGCCTATATATGTCCATCTTGTTTCTCCTGTTAGAATCTCTCCTGTTAGAAATCAGGGACCATATGACTTTTGTCTTTGTATGCTTAGTAACTAGCACTCAAGGTGTTTCATAAATACTTGTTTATTTACTGATTAATCAAATCCTTGTAGACCATCTTCTTGGTTTTTCTCAAGTGGATTCTCAGCATCACTGAAAAAGTAAAAAAGGCCCAAACACACACACATGGGTACACGTGTGTGTGTGTGTGTGCACGCATGCATGTGTGTGTGTGTGTGTGTGTGTGTGTGTGTGTGTGTGTGTGAGTGAGAGAGAGAGAGAGAGAGAGAGAGAGAGAGAGAGCGAGAGCTGGGGAGGGAGAGAGAAATAGAGAGAGATTTTGGATTTTTCTTTATTTCACTGGCTGAAATGGTAAAAGCACCCATCACCACTTAGCCTAACGGTGATGAACCTCTCTGTACTTAGACTGATCCTGAGAAAGCAGACAGTCCACTGCTGGGACAGTCTTACCCATATACAAACAAAAAAAATTAATTAATTTCTGAGACCATTTCTGAATTTTAATAAAGTTAAGGACAAGAGTAAGGGAGAGAAATACATAAGTATCAAAAGGAGAAACACATTGAAAACAAGCAGAAAATAGCCAAAAGGACAAATTAGGAGGACATAATACAATCAAAGTATAAGACAAGCATGGGGAAAGGCCTTTGTGTCAGAACAAAGGGTAGAGTCCTGCCTAGATCACTGGGCATAGCTCCAACTTCTTAGCCCTGTTGTCTTGTTTCCTCTCTCAGCTTTATCTGATGCCCCTACAGATTCAGGTAAAAGTATGTAATGCTGTTGACTTATCTTCATGAACTACAGTAACATTTTTTAATTAAGTCAAGGGTGTTAGTTTCTCAGGTGATTCTCAACCAAGTATGTAAGTTATATAAGAAAGCCTGCAATGACACCTGTTTTGAAAGGATCCATTTGGACAGTTTCCATTACAGTGTTTCCAAAAAGACAATTAAGAAATTAGAGTGCAGACAAAAGGATCTGGGGAAATCTGGCAAAAAAGATAAGGAAACCTTACCCAATAGCTGTACTAGGTTAGGATGCTTGATCTCTTTCATCACAGCAGCTTCTTTTAAGAATTCCTCCACCTCCATGGTGTCTTCCTAAAAAGAAAAGAAAAAAAAGAGAAAATACCCTTTCTTAGTTACTCAAGTTCAGCTTACCTCTCTGCCATTCCATCTCCAAACATAAAAGCCAAAATAAGAAATGAATTCTGACACATGGATTCCAAATACTTCTTTTAGTTTACTATATGGCATGGTCACACCTGAGCTTTAGGAATATGAACTCGCCAAGTATGTGGAGTACAGATTAGAAAAAGTAGAGATTCGCTGTATTATTCATTGAAACTTAATTTGCCAACTACGTTGAGTACTGATTGGAGAAAGTAGAGAAAACAGGGAAGACCAATTAGGAAGCTAATGCAATAATCCAGATGTAATATAATTAAGGGCCTGAACTAGGGTGGCTGTAAAAGATACTATGGAGGTAGACCTGATAAGACTTGGCAACTGACTGGGTATGTGGGGGGTAGGGAGGAGATGAAAGAGAAGGAAGTATAGTGGATGACTCCTGGAGTGGCAACCTAAGTGACTGACTGAGACAGACAAGTTTTCAAGAGGCACTGTTTGGGGCAAAGAATGAATTCTGGATATGGTAGAGTCTGAGATACTAACAGAACAGCTGGGTGGAAATGTCCAGTAGGCAGTGAGATGGTGATTCAGAACTGAAGCCCAGGCCTGGATAGACAGAGAACTGAGAGTCAGCAAGCAGCCACAGAAGCTGCTGAGGTCACTGAGAGAGAATGCATGAAGAGAGGAGGACCTAGGACAGAATTTTGTAGTACACCCACACATAAAAAACAGGGTCACAGAGGATGATCCATCAAAGACGACTGAAGAGAGGCCAAGAGAAGAAGGAGAACCAGGAGACATCAGTTACAAAAATCAAGGGAAAAGACAGTATTCAAAATGAGATGGGGTTTACAGTGCTGCAAGCATTTGTAAAATGGACATCATAATACCTATACCACTTAATGCAGAATTGAAAAGAAAATGTTTTGTAAAACATAATTATTACACATATACACATTCTGTGGCACACTTAAAGAAACTCTCAGCATCTATTAGGTTGGGATGAGAGTAGAAACACTGATTTAGTCTAGGTTGCACCAGAGAAGAGAATAAATAAGAGCAGTGGCAAGAACACAGAATAAAGAGAGTATAAACCGTTTCGCTTGAAGTGAAGCTCTATCAGCTTCATCCTAAAACTGTGATTCAACAACACTAGCAGAAACCCTGACTAGCAAGGGGCATGCAAAAAAAAAATTCTCGTTTCAAAAGATGAAATTTATTTCTAACTTCCCACTGAGAGCAACATCATATGCCTCCACAGTCAGACTCTCCCACGTGGGTTTCTCTGCAATGCAGTGAACAGTCTCCACTAAGATAATGTGCAACTATGTCTTCAGGAAAGGACCTGAGGGTTAACTATCACAATCTGCTGAAGTGTTTGGCATCAGTGGGTGGAAAGCATGCTGATATTTCCATGTGACTAAGCTCAGTTCAAGACAAAAGAAGCCCAAGTAAAGTGATTCTCAACTACCCACCTTTAGCGTTTTCACAGCAACAGTAAGACTGTATTTCTTCCAGACGCCAACATACACCTCGCCATACTGGCCACCCCCGAGTTTGTGCTTCATGGTGATATCAGTTCGTTCCATTTCCCACTTGTCGTGGATGGGGGACACTCCATAGACTGTAGGCTTATTGCACTTCGGTGCCGGGTAGTGCAAGGTTGTCACCAGCCCATCAGCCACCGTAGAGTGATGATGAACCAGTTCTGCCAAAGTGCTGAATCGGCTTTCTGCTGTCACATACACCTGAGACAAAATGGGGACCGAGGGGAGGCAGGAAATGAAAAAACAACTCGAGAGTAAAAAATAAGTATCTTTACTGGGCCAAAACTGAGAGAGTTTAATATTCAAAGATTAAATGAAAAACTTTGATGATACCAAAGAAGCGTAACATTTCAATTCAACTGAACTGACTGTCCTTGCCTTTACAGGTATCTCATCTATCTAGACCAGCAGCTCCTGAACCTTTTGTGTTCCCAGCACAGCACTCTTTGTCATGAGGAACTGCAAGCACTTCAGCAGTATCTAAGTTGGAAACCCTATGAGAGGGTCAGAAAAATCATGCATTCACAATTTTCCATCATAAGAGCATATGTTTTTGTGAATTCTTTGTGAGTTCAGGGTCTAACGAGTTGAGGTTAGTAAATATATATATTGATACGTTTTTATTTAAATTTTGTGAATAATATACTTTCTACACAGCATGCTGGGTAAGAAAAATTTATACTAAACAAAATTTATAAATTTTCTTTTAGCTGCACTGATAGAATATTCAAAATTTTGTGGCACATTTAAAGAAACTCTCAGCACAACCTCTGAGAATCACTGGTCTAAATTGGAGGTGTCAAACACACAGCCCACAATACTCTGAGTGCGGCCCAAACCAGATCAAAATGTAATTGGGAAATATTTAACAAAACAAATAAAAATACAATAAGACATAGATAGCATTACATTTTAAAACTAAGTCCATATTTGGTACACGGGGATCCTTAGGGCACAGTTTAGTGGTCCCTGCTTCTCTCTGAGTTTGACATTAGTGGGCTAGACCATATTGTTGCCTGCATAACAGGACTTTTCCAATCCCATGTATTTACAAACAACATAACTTACTGACCCAGGGGGAATATGGGAGAAGGCTAAGACATTCTTTTGGAATAGTCAAATTTTCATTTATTTGAATTTTATAGTCCAATTATTTGGTTGTACACATTTATAGGACGGTATAGAAACTATGTTTCTGTCATTTCGAAGTGACAAATATGCAGTGAGGGAAAAGAGTGAGAGGCGCAGGAGTGAAGCTATACAAAAGCTAACCTCTGTGTAGTATATATTTCTGTAAGGAAGACTTCAATCACTTGTAAATGATTTTATAAGAAGAGTCAAGTATTAATGATACAGCTATTCATACCAATATCCTAGAATGATAAGCAAAATGCTCAACATGAGCTCCAGGAATCAAGATGGCTTACTAATTTCTGAAGTTTTCGACAACCTTTCAGAGACAGAGACAGAGAGAGACAGAGACAGACAAGCCTTTTAAAATCAATCTCACATACTTAGTTTGGGATTTGTTGTTCTCTCTATCATTTCACTTTTAAGCATAGTAATACAAATTAGATTTCATTAAGAACATAGTTCCCATATCTCAATCCCTTAAAGTTAACTAACTACTTTATTCTACCGAGTCTACTAATATTAGCCAATATAGATATGTCCTGTTTTAAGATAAAAGGATATTAATGTGAACTTACAAACATTATGGGACGATTACTTGACCTTACAAACTATTTACAATAAAGAGATCCTGTCCAGCTTATTTAATGCATTAAAAAATTTTAAATTAGAGAAATACTGAAATCTTTAAAACCAATTTTCAGGAAAATATGGTAGAGCCTGGATTGTTATTGAGAGCCTGGATTTTAATCCCAGTTCTGTCAAAAATTAACTACATGACCTAGGGACCTCTTCAGGCTTTGGTTTTCCACCTTTAACAAAGAATTAAACTAGACAAATGTCTAGGAATCCTTCATCCTATAAAATGTCATGATGTGCTATTTATTGAGTACAGCAAGGCATCATCCACTGAAGTTCCATTTAGATGCTTCACTGTGGTTTGGGAAATGACCTCTGTGCTTTTAAAACTATGTAAATGAAGTTAGCAGAGTAAGTTAGTAAACTCTGGCAGGTTTTATCAAGTTCCAAATGTTCTTAGCATTGCCCAGGAACAAAATGAAGTAAGCCTGTTATCTCTACACCAGCCTAGGTTTGGAGAGGTTCATCACCAGAAGGTTGACCAACAGATAATAAAATATTTTAGTTACAGAAGCTCTTTAACGACCTCTACTAAGTCATAAGAGATTGCTGGATATATATTAGCACAGGAAATATTCATTTTCATGAAATGAGGATCCTTGAAATACTACAAGACTCACCTAACATACTGAAAAACTGTTCTAGGCTACATTCTACTAAGGTCAGTCTGCCAAAATTTAAACACTTTATAAACACAAAACTTACCATCCATATTTTTTTAAACCAACTTCTCTTCCTAATAAGTAACAGACCCTGTACTCAGAAAGTAAAAAGGATATTTTATCATTTGTCAGAGAATGACCTCAAGAATATAGATAGTGGAATTGTCCACAAGGCTACCTAGAAGCCTATGGGAAAATAAATTATATGCTGAAAAAACAAATCAATATACCAAAAAGAAGTTGCCTTTATTTGCTAAATGTTAAAGATTTTTAATTTTAGCTCTTCTGATGCTTATATATAAATGGCTTCCATCTATTTAACACTTTACATTTAGAAGGTATTTCAGCACATATCTGATGCTTACACTATTATTATTATTTGGAAGCAAGTAGTGTTGGTGTTATACTCATTTAATAGGAGAGAAAATTGAGACTTGGAGGTTAAATATGAATTATTTACTCCAGAATCACACAGTCATTAATTGAATCCAAAACCTAGATCCAAATCTAGATCTTCTAAGTACAGGTTCTGTTTCTAGCACTGTGCCTCTTAGCTCACATGTGTTTATAGAGATGTCTTACCTTTCCATCTGTGGTGGTATTGATCCTGTAGTGGTATACACGTCCCTCGTACCTAAGCGAGATGGATAATTGCCCTGGGCTGCTCTCACTTTCCCGCACAAGGAAGCTGCCGTTGATAAGGCTGCTAAGCAGATATTCTGCTGCACTTCGGGACACTGGCCCATGGTACCAAGAATGCTTCTCCAGGCTGTTCACTGGGGTGATATAGTTGCTTGGCACCCACCCCTGCCCATTCTTAGAGCGTACCTCACTCCACTCACCATTCTGGTTGTAACCTAGGACTCGGAGCTTCTCACCTAGACAAAGATTAGCAACAAAGAAGTGCTTAATAAGAAACTTTAAATGAAATTAAAATCTGGTGAAATCACAATCTGATTTATTAATAAATTATGCACACTAGAAAGGAAAAGGAACTGACACATAAAAGAGAGAAAACTTAAAATCTGAGGACCATAACAGCTGAAAGCACAACCCTTTGATATCACTATAGAATAACTTAGAATTTAAAAAAGAAAATTAATCACCAGAGCAAAAATTGGCAACCGTATGGAATGAGAGACCTCAATGTTCTTTCCATTATTTTGAAAGATCTATGATTTCACTAGTAAGGGTATTTTCCTTTTCCACTAATACAGATTCTACTTCATTAGTTGCTACGACCAAAAAGAATAGTTTGCCAACTCCTTCTGATGAAGAGCCCCTCTACATAGAGCTAGGCTATTTCTCAGGAGACAGATAAACACTACACCATTGAGTCTGTATTTTTAGTTTATTAAAAGCTACAATAAGGTGGACTCTGCTGGTAATACCTTCAAAAATTTTAGTCTCTCTACAACACAATGAGGCATCAAAGTAGGATCTGGGGTAGGGGTTGGGGTGGGGGTTCTAGTTTCTTGTTCTGCTAAACTTACAAGGAAATCCTTGTGAAATGCTTTCGTTTATGGAAATATTTATTATTTTAGAGAATGGGAAGGTATAAGAATAAAGAATTGATACTTTACTGCAATATAATCTTAATTCCAATGGAAATTTTTTGATTACTTGTACTTCATCTGAAATGCCAGCATCATAACATTTTACCAAATGACACAAAAATTATTCAGGATTTATGTAGACTTGCACATATATGTATAGCATAATATCTGCTCTGTGGCATATAAAAAAATATAAGTAGATATGCAAATTGTAAATATTTTTATCCATGGGTTTATATGTAATATAGATAGATAGATAGATAGATAGATAGATAGATAGATAGATAGATAGACAGATACTCTTACTGATCACTTTTAACAAAATGTATGAACATGCATATAAAATTATTAAGGGATATCACAAAAGTATTTGCTTCAAGCAAAACTGAAATCACTGCTATTAATACTAATGAAGTTATAAAGGAAAATAATGCTTCCTCCCTACATGTTCTTGTTATATTGCTTTCCAAATAACAAGTGTGTAATAAATGGCTGGCTGTTTTTTGTGGGTGATGATTAGAGTGATAAAAAAAAATCAATTAGACGCAATGCTGTGCAAAAAATCAGAAGACCTGGATTCAAATCCTATCTTTGACATTTACAGAATCACAGAATTTAAGAATTAAAGGATCCTTTTAAAATCTATGCTAACAGGCTGACATCATCAAGCAGCTGAGGGCACTACTATTTTCGGAGTCCAGAGGGACAAGATGCCAGGCCCAGGAAGTCCTGAAACTCTTTTGTGAGGATGATCAGATCCCTAGATTCTGTAACCTGTTCTGAATCTAGGAACTTCAGACTCACACTCTGATCCACAGAAAGAAGCACCAGGAGAATTTGGATCATTTATGGGTACCTTTTAAAACTTCAATAACTGCTGTCTGAGGAGACAGTGAGACCTCTGACAAGGTGGTTGGTGCAGACAAATCTCAACCACTGCAAAACTACAATCTCTAAGTACCATGTTGTCTGAAGAGAAAAAGAAGAGTACCATATTTATGCCTGGCTCCTCGGGTATGTAATTTTCCTGAGGACTGCTTTAGCTGCATCATGGAAATTTTATAATATTCCATCATACTCTTATACCACAATTCAATAAGCCTTCTTCTTGGTCCTTGAACATGACACTGATTCTTCATCTCTTGCTTCTGTGCATTTGCCCCAACTGTCTCTCCTGGCTTCTAAATCTCAGCTAAAATCCCACCTCTGCAAGAGGCCTTTCCCCATCCCTCTTAATGCCCATCCCTTCTCTCTAAGATTTCTTCAAATTTGTCCATATATTTTATATGTACACAGTCATTTGCATGTTACCTTCCTCATTAAAGTATGAGCTCCTTGAGGTGAGGACTGTCTTTCTTTACCTCCCCCAGGGCTTAGCACAGTGTCTGGAAAATAGCAGGCACTTAAAAAAATGCCTGTTGACTGGCTGACCTTAAGGTTACTTAGTTCAACTCCTTTATTTTATAGATGAAGAAATCTGAAGCTGAAGATAATCAGAGCAGAGTGGAAAGCCTTTCTTATCAAACTCCACTGGCTCCAGAGTGAATGGACCTGGATTCAAATCCTAACATGTGTGATTGGGCAGGTCACCTACCCTTCCCTGGGCCTCATTTTATTCATCTGTAAAATGAGGGGATAACCTTAAATAGTGGATAACCTTGGAGTTCCTTCAAGCTTTAGACTTCAGATCCTATGATCACACATTAGCTGTGTAACCAAGGGCCAATCACTAAACCTCCAAGTCTCAGGTAACTCCCTACGACTTCTACTAGGTGGGATCTATATTTGTGGAGGAATTCCTTCCATTGAGAAAATCACAGATCCTTGGACATATTGATGAGAGTTATAAATTCTTCCCCCTGTGGGAAACACGAAGGCACGGCTCTTCTAAAAGAAACCCAGAGTCCCATTAAGCATATTTAAGACAAACCACCTAAGTAAATTAAAATGGGCTACACGAGAAGTGTCAAACTTTCAGCCTGTGAAACTTCAGAGTGCAGCCTAACTAGATTAAAATGTAATTGGGAAATGTTTAATAAAATGAATAAAAATACAATATAACAAAGAGAATGTTAATTTGTGGTTTACTAAGTCAACATGTGGCCCCGTAGAGATTCACTTCTATCTGAGTTTGACATCACAGTTACAGTCTCTCTATACATCATCATCATCACAATAACAATAATGGTGGTGATGATGATGATAATAAAAATAGTTAAAATTTATATAGTACTTTGTGCCAGGCACTGTGCTAAACCCATTACAATTATTATGTCATTTGATGCTCACACAACCCTGTGAAACAGGTGCTATTATTATGCCCATTTTAGAGATAAGGAAATTGAGGCAAACAGAGATCTAGTGACTTTCCCCAAAAAATCACACAGCTAATGTCTGAGGCTGAATCTGAACTTGGATGGTCCTGACTCTAGGCCCCATGCTCTAGTCATGGCGCTTCCTAGCTGCCATGGATGGATATGTTCTGTTTATTCATTTGGAATCCTATAATGAGTGACTTTTACTTTGTTCCCTTCCTAGTGCCAAGCCGTGTGCCAGGAACTGTGCCAAAGGCTGGAGGAGGGTTAGCATTTACTTCATTTTTTATCTTTACAACTGAAACAAACTACATCCCATGGTGAGAAAGTTTCTAAATGAAAAGCCTTTCTTCTACCTTGCTCATTATTCTGCCACTAAGTGATAAAGATATGTATCATTTAAGCAACAAAAATCACCTTCCTGAAGTTAGGATTCAATAGGGTAGAAGCATATTAGGTCAGTTTTCTTTATTTCTCTGAGGCAAATAACAACAGCGTTATCATATACAAAGACCATAATTCTGGTTGTATTATTATTATTATTGTCATTAACAACACATTATGCATTTGTATACAAGGGTTTGACTTCTTTACAAATGTCTCATAAATACATCATTGATTCTTCAAATCAACTTCTTGTGATATCAGCAAAGCAGGTATTATCTTCATTCTGCTGGTGAGGAAACCGTGTCCTAGTTACATAGTGGTACAGCCAGGCCCAGGCCCCGGGGGAAACTGAGGAGTAATGGGAGGTACTCTAGGGAAGTGAATCAGAGTTCTACCACTCATTAACTATGCAATCTTGGGCAAGCCAAATGACCACTTCGGACCTCAGTTTCCTCATCTCTAAAATAAGATGATTTTCAAGGTTCCTTTTAGCTCTTAAAGTCTAAGATTCCACAAATTAATATAATATTTTCTGCATGAAAGTGAAAGGGATGAAAACTATCCCCATAACTGTACCTTTGGTGATGCTGAGTGTGTTGTCACCACTTGCAACAAAATCATAAAGTGCAACAAAGAGATTGGGGTCACTCTCAGTGGCTCCAAGCAAATTCTCCTTGGAGCTCCACCTGATGGCTTCATTCAGTGCCTGGGACTCAACTTCACAGCCATAGGGACGGTGCAGGGCTTCTGAACAGACACAAAAAGGAAAAGACATTTTCCTTTACATGCAGTGGCTACAGATTCATCTGAATTTATGTACCCAATTTCTGCCATTTCTGCAAACTGAGGAAGCTCGAGACTGGGGATTTGAGGGAGAAAGAGCCCTGGGTCTTTACCAGTACGTAACAGGTAACCTATTAACATTTTAGGCACGCAGACTGCTTTTTGTAGCCTGTGTGTAATACGGTGACCATGGATAAAAATATAAAATAAGGTTTCAGCTCTATTTTCTATTCATACTCTAAGACTTCTTTGACCTATAAATCTAAACTATGATTCACCAAAGTTAGAGAAGTTAGCAACATGGAAGATTCACTATTTTCTTAAAATAAAACTGCAGGAATTCCAGAAATGAAGAACTAAAAATTTTATTAATCACAACGAATATTTTTTAAAGACTAGAGAGAGAGAGAGAGTGTGTGTGTGTGTGTGTGTATAAAGTGCTTCTTTCTCTCCAAATACAAATCCCAGGAAAATTAGTAGAAAACCTTTATTTAAATAACCTTTTAAGTTTTGTTGTTGTTGTTGTTGTTGTTATTGTTGGTTTTGGGTGGGGCAATCGGGGTTAAGTGACTTGCCCAGGGTCACACAGCTGTTAAGTGTCATATGTCTAATGACGGATTTGAACTCAGGTCCTCCTGACTCCAAGTCCAGAGCTTATCCACTGCGCCACCTAGCTGCCCCATAGAGAACCTTTAAGGTAATAATTACCATAAAGGCACAAAATGGCTTAGATCATGTATTTGCTACAGGAAAAAACCAACATTTAAAAATCTAGATAGCAGAACGCCTAAAAATATCTCTATCACAAAGTACCCTAATTCCACACAAGAAATTCATGACATTTTAACGGTGTAGTCATTTTATATGAGTCAATTAAACAAGTACTTCTTGATCGCCAGGCACCACATGGATGTTAGGGCTGCAAGTACAAAAGAGATCCTGCCTTTATGAAGAGTATATCCTACTGCTAAATAAATAAAGTACATAAAAAGATATAGTGATTTGGGGGCAGTTAGGTGGCACAGTGGATACAGCACCAGCCCTGGAGTCAGGAGGACCTGAGTTCAAATCCAGCCTCAGATACTGTACACTTACTAGCTATGTGATCCTGGGCAAGTCACTTAACCCCACTGCCTAGTGCCACTCCCCCCACCCCCATATAGTGCTTTGGGCACAAGGCAAAACTGAGAAAATCAGGAAAGGGCTTCTAAAGGAAGGGGCAACTGAGCTGAGCCTTGAAATTAGAATGCATGAAAACATCATTTCTTAAGCACTCGTTATGTGCCAAACATTGTGTTAAATGTTGAAGATTCAAACAGAAAAAGCTAGACAATTCCTGCTCTGAAAGAGTTCACACTCCTTGGGAGAGAGAACCCATAAAAAACAGTTCAGCTGCAGAATGAATGTAAAACCTCAGCTCTGGGTACAGTGCTGGGCATACAATGGGTAGGTTTACTTTAGTAAAATGATGACAATGACATGGGCCTGCAGGGCATAGTAGAAACTGAGCAGATAATAAGGCCTGATGGTTCTTCATCTCACCAGAAGGAACGGACTTGATGATTCCCATATTGTCTAAGCCATGTGAATAGTCAACCCAGACAGGGTCTGGGTTGCTTGGCTTAGGGAGGCTGGGAGAAAGGAGGGGAAGGAGGAGAAGCAAAGGAGGAAGGGCATACCCGTGGTGGCAGGGCTTCTCATCACCCTGCCATCCAGATGGGTTCTAAGACACAGAGCATTCTAGACATGAAGGTAGCTTGTGCAAAAGAATAGAAATAGAAAATGGAATATCATGTAAGTGGAATAGCAAGTAGTCCATTTGTCTGGAACACAGAGTAGAAGAGGAAAAATGTGTAATTAGCCTACAAAAATTGAGGGAAGCCAGATTATAAAGGGCTTTAATTACTAAATGATTTCTAGCAACTAGTACAATGCCTGGCACATAAAAGGCACTTAATAAATACTATACTAGAGCCAAGAGCAAGCCATGAAAGTTTCTTAAATAAGGAAATGACATTGTCAGAGCTGTGCTTTATTTAGGAATATAAATTTGGCAACTATATGGAGGACTGATTGGAGATGGAGCAGGGAAACCAATGTAAAGACCTGAACAATAGTGTGAACTAGTGTGGTTATAAGGAGAAAGAAGGAAATAGAGAAGAATTGGCAACTGGTTTTGGAGGTGAGAGTAAAATATGATGAAAGGTTGAGGATGACCCCATTTGAACCTGAGTAAGTAAAAGAATGGTTCTTTCCTTTGCAGCAAAAGGGAAGCTAAGGGGAAGGCTGAGATGAGGAGAAATAATGAGTTTGATAGTGGACATGTTCGAGGTGTCTACAGAAAATTCAAGTAGAGATAGTTTCTCATTTCTAAGTGCCTGCTAAATTATCTAACTCAAAAGTGAAATAAGCACTGGATATATGGATGTGGGAGTCATCTTAATAGATATCACAGCAGAATTAATGGGACCTGATGAGATAACTGAGAGAGGGGCTGTAGAAAGAGACAAGAATAGAGATAGAGAATACAAAGAGACCAGGATATATTTCTTGGGTACGATTACACAAAGGGTGTAAGATAATGGTTGATAATTCTAAAAAGGAGGCTGGAAAAAGTCATTCCTACAGGCAGGAAGAGAACAGGTAGAAAGGAGTAGCAAACTGCACAAAAAATCTGGCAATAATGTATCCAAAAGAAAAGAGTGGTCAACAGCTGCAGGGAGTACAAGAAGGATGAAGAATGAGTAAAGACCATTGAATTTAGCAATAAAGAGACAACTGGTGATTTGGGGAGAAGAAAGTATTAAGTAATAGTGGAAGCCATATTGTAAGGTGTTGAAAACTGAGTATAAGGTTAAGGAAACAGAGGCTACAAGTATAGACAACTTTTTCTTAGAGATGGGATATGAAAGGAAGGAGAGATATAGGATAATTTGAAGAGAGGGTAAGGTTATATGATACTTTAAGAATGGGAGAGATCTAGTTACCAGTTCATAGGCAGAGGTTGAAAATTACAGAGAAAAAGGGGCAGCTAGCTGACACAGTGGATAGAGCACCGGCCCTGGATTCAAGAGGACCTGAGTTCAAATATGACCTCAGGCACATAACACTTACTAGCTGTGTGACCCTGGGCAAGTCACTTAACCCCACTGCCTAAAATAACAACAATAACAACAAAAAAAGAAAGAAAATTATAGAGAAAAAGAAGCAGGATTGAAAGGTAGGGCTGTCAGAGGAAACAAGAAGGGATGAGATCAAGGGCTCAAACAGAGGATGTTGGAGTAGCAAGGAAAAAGGTCATATTCTGAGAAACCCAAATAAAGGAGGAGAGGATTGAAATAATGAAGCAATTTAAACTGGACTAAAATGATGCCATGTAAGTAGAGAGGACAGAGCCATTACCGAGGTAGATTTGACAAGACTTGGCAAATGAAAGGATGTGTGGACAATGGAATATTATATACAGTAATAAATGATGAATATGAGGGATTCAGAGCAAGATGGGAAGATCTTTACGAAGAGTGAAAAAAGCAGAGCCAAAAGAATAATCACAATGACTATAACAATGTAAATGAAAAAATTACTAAAAGGAAATCAAGATGAGTAACTGAAAAACCAAAAATTTATCTCTGCTCTTAAGACAGTGAAGTAGAGAACTCCCGGGACAGAACATATATACACACACACCACACATACACACAGGAAGAGAAAGAGAGAGAGGAAGAGAGAGGGGGGGGGGAGAGGGAGAGGAGAGAGAGAGAGAGAGAGAGAGAGAGAGAGAGAGAGAGAGAGAGAGAGAGAGAGAGAGGAGAGAGAGGGAGAGAGAGAGAGAGAGAGAGAGAAAGTATTGTCAGAAGCAGTCACTATCAGGCATTTTTGTTTGTTTTTCCTTGTCTCCAGGGAGGGACTGAAATGACTGTGGTATAAAGACAAAGGGCATCAATAAAATGCTTGTCTTTAAGACCTATGTAAAGTAGTACTGAGTCATAGAACAGTAAGAGAACATGAATTTTTATTTTTGTTTTACTATTATCCATGTGATCTTAATTAAGCAAGTTATTTAATCTTTTTACTCCTGTTCTTTCATCTATAAAATATAGTCAGGAGATTACTGTTAAAGTAACTTCTATTTCTGAATGAACCTTGTGATTCTAGGTTTCTAATTCCAAAATGTTATTTTATTTTTGCAAGAATTACAGTTAGCAACAAATATAGAATATAAGCAATTTCTCGGTATAAAGTATTTACTGTAAAAAGAGTCACAGATTTTTATAAGTACTCTATTTTTAAGTCCTAATTTTAAATAACATTATTCTCCTCCACCCACCTACTTCCAACTATTGTGGGAGGTTATGTTGGGGAGGGGGACAGTTTAATTAAATAGAAACGTCATATTTACTTCCTTCTTTCCACTCCCCCCCTTTCCTTTCCAAATCATTCATGATCTCTTTCCTGTATAGCCAGTCTGCGAAGGAAATCCGTTCATAAATCTTCACTTCTCCTAACTCCGAACACTGGACAAAATAAAAATTAAAGGGAAAAAAATACCAAAAGTGACCAAAATTTTTAAATGAATATAGAAAATATCTCTTAAATCATGAATAGTAAATAATAGATTTAAAGCTGGAAAGGACCTCAGGAAAAAAACTGAGGTCCAGAGAAGTTATGATTTGCTTAGGGTCATACTCATCAGTAGTTAGAATCAAGAGTGAAGTCAGTTAACTCCAAAACTATGCCTCTTTTCTCTGAACTAGGGGGCTTGTCTCTCAAATAAACAGAGAAAGAAAGAGTTGAAACATGAGAAACTAATTAAGAAAAAAAGGAACTGAAACAATTAAGTAGGAAAAGCAACCAAAATTCACCACATGTCTAAGTCATTTCCTAGGGAACTTAAAAAAAACCCAAAGCACCACACAGACACGTGTCTGGTTGGTTTAAATGTATCCTGCTCAGAAATAATTGGT